TTGATCATCAACGTGGCGCCCACCGTCCACCATCTCGTAACATGCTCTACTCCCTTTCTACCCTGCTACCCTCTCCCTCCCCCCTTTCGCCCGCCCACTACTTCCAGGCAATGCCAAGACATCGCTGGTGATCAACGTGGCGCCCACCGTCCACCATCTCAACGAGTCCCTCTCCTCGCTACTCTTCGGCTCTCGGGTATGCTCTCCCCCCTGCTGTTTGCCTATCCATTATTCGCTACTTTCCTCCTAGCTATCTTCCCTCTGCGTTAGGCACACTCCTATCCGGTTAATCCCTGCTCCTTGTGCCCCTGCTCTCTGTCCCTGCTCTCTGTCTGGCCCGCCCTGTGCTCCTCCTCGTTCTCCCCTCCTTCTGCGCTGCTTCTCAATGTCTTGGACACCAGGCGATGGAGGTGAAGACGAAGGCGATGGTGAACGAGGAGGAGTACCGCATCCTCACTCGCACCCTGCAAAGTTCTTGCATGCCCTTGCTCTCTTCCTGCTCTCTTCCCCTGCGCTCTGCACCTGCCCTCCCCCCCACACCCTCCCCCCCTCTCCGCCTCCCTCCTCTCCAGCACCAGGCGATGGAGGTGAAGACGAAGGCGATGGTGAACGAGGAGGAGTACCGCATCCTCACTCGCACGCTGCAGGAGACAGCCACTGAAAGACCTTGTGTGACCTTGCTCTCTGCTTCCCGCTCCCTTCCCCTGCTCCCTTCCCCTGCTCCCTTCCCCTGCTCTCTGCCCCTGCTCTCTACCCCTGCTCTTTGCCCTCCTCTTTGTCTGCAACGCCAGGCGATGGAGGTGAAGACGAAGGCGATGGTGAACGAGGAGGAGGAGTACCGCATCCTCACTCGCACGCTGCAGGAGACCATTGACGAGCATGACGACCGCGTGCACTCCTTAGAGGTACCCTTTCTTTTGCAGGGTGTTATCTGAAAAATCCCATAAGCACTACAATGGCCTGTCATCCCTAGGTACCCCGTCCCCATCATCTCTCCTCTCTCACCTCGCATCCGTCCAGCTCTCTGCTTCCACTTTTTACAACCCAGTGCCACATGACACATCACCGTCCATGTGGCATAGGTAGAATTCTCCTGACTTGACTTACCCTGCTTCCCTTCCGACTCTGATTTTCCTGCTTCCCCCCTCGTTCTGAAAACCCTTCCTTGCTGCTTTTGCTTAGGTGGTGGTGTATTCGCAGGAGGAGCAGCTGTCGCAGGCCAAAGCGAGTCTGGAGGAACAGAAGGAGCTGGTGGAGACGCTGCAGGCGGAGAGGGAGGAGATGGAGCAGAAGCTGGCAGAGGGGGTTGCTGCAGTGGAAGAGGAGTGGACTGCCAAGTGAGTCCGATGGGACAGGGATGGGGAGAATGGGATAGGTGCGTGAGAGTGTGTGGTGGGGATGGGTGCTTAGGGTGTTGCCTAGCAGGGTGCTGCAGGCTCGAGCAAGCTGAAACAGAAGCGAGGCAGCAAATGGAAGAGGCACAGCAGACCTTTTCATCCATCCATCCTCGTCCATGCATGCATCCCCCTCCGTGTATCACTGCAGGCTCGAGCAGGCCGAAACAGAAGCGAGGCAACAAATGGAAGAGGCACAGCAGACCTTTTCAGAGGTACGCGCTAGCATACGAGGCAGCAATGCTACAGCAGTAGTGCGGTAGTCATAGCAATTGGGGGGGGGGGTAATGCACTGATAATCCACACGCTGTTTGAGGCGCCTCAAAAGTCATAGCAATTGGGGGGGGGTTAATGCACTGATAATCCACACGCTGTCTCAGGAACAACAAGCGACGAAATGCAGGGTACGGACTTTCATGAGCCTGAACGGCTGGGGCAGCAGAAATCATGCAAGGAGGGGCTGGGTGTGGAATTGGAATTGCAAGAACGCCAGGAAAAGCAGGAATCAGACTGCCATGGGTACAAAGAGTTGGACCAGATTCAAGGCACCGAAAGGCACTGGATGGAAGCTATTCAGGAGAACGGGTTGGGGGAGGGGCGAGACGAGACTAGCGACAGCTCAGACTCGTTTTCTGGGATGCTGATTAGGCAGCGCGGGGAGAGTGAAGGTTCTGTGCAGTCCTGTGGTGATCCATGTGGTTTGCTGAAGGAGGGAGCAGGAGACGCAGGGCAAGAGCTGATGGCTGAAGAGGCTTCAAAGGAGAGCGATAGTGGGGAGAAGGGCAGTGAGGGGGGACGTGAGGATGGGGAGGGCAGTGGGGATGAGGAGGAAGAGGGCAGTGAGGATTGGGAGGATGGCAGTGGAGTGAAGGAGCTCCTTGGTGCTTTCACCTCTGTGGCTCTCACCCACGTGCAGGTCTGCCCCCCCCCCCTGACCCTCACTCTTTCTCTCATACATTCTCATACCCTGTCTGTCACTCTTATCTTGCGTGTGTGCTGCCTTTGTGTGGTGTTGCCTTCTCACATTGCTACTACCGTCTGCAGAATCTCTCCAAGGCCACGGAGTCCCTTACGATGGAACGGGATGATATGGCCAAAGAGCTGGCATCGGCCCGAGAAAGTAAGCTTTACACCTTTTTTTTTTTTTTTTTCCCCAAAATTCTTAAACACCGCAAGCCAGCCTGACTTTCAGACGCCTTAACGATATCTCAGAACTCTTATTTTGAAGTGCAGCGGCGGTGCAGTGGCACAAAGGCCAAGATGACCTGACTTCTCCTCTCCATTCTCCCTCTTTCCCCTACCCTCTCTCTTACCTTCCTCCCCTCCTCCCACCCAACCCCCCTTTCTTTCCCCTACCTCTCCCACGTGTGCAGTGGTGCAGCGGCTGGAGCAGCAGCTGAGGGAGGCGCAGGAGGCGAAGGGGCAGCTGGAGGAGGCTCCGCTAGTCGCTTCAGAGTCGGGGGACGGTGCTGATGGCACAGGCGCTGGGGCGCTGCTTACGCTTTCTCCTCTCCTACTCCCTCTTTCCCCTCCCCTCCCTCCCCACCTTCCCCATCCACCCAACCCTCCCTGCCTGCAGTGGTGCAGCGGCTGGAACAGCAGCTTCAGGAGGCGCAGGAGGCGAAGGGGCAGCTGGAGGAGGCTCTGTTAATCGCTTCTGAATCAGGGGACGGTGCTGATGGCACTGGCGCTGGGCTGCAGCTGCTGATGACTGAGAAGGCGGCACGGCAGCAGGCAGAGCAGGAGGTGGTAGCACTGAGAGGGGAGATGAGCCGTGGACGGGTGAAGTTGGAAGAGACTGAGAAGAAGCTGGCACAGCAGATAGAGGTGAGAGGAATGCTGAAGTCCTGCTGAAGTGGTGTGAGAGAGAGGGTTGATAGAAGTTGGGCACGGATGATGCTGGAGGGAACTGAGGTGAGGAGTGGTGTGGGTGGGTGTCAGAAAAATGCAGTTTGATAAAACTTTTGAATCAACACTCAAGAGGTGGTCTCCTGGATTGATTCAATAGTCAAAATCAGCGTTGACAGTGGGAAGCTGAGGTGTGTGCATGCGGGGCAGAGATGATCCAAGTGGCTGATGATTCTTCCTATCCATCCCCCACTCCCCCTGTCAAACCACTGCCTCACATAACAGGAAACATCGCAGCGCGTTGAGCAGGTGCGGGCGCTCAAGGCGGAGAGCAAGAGGCTGAATGAGCTTGTGGTGGCGACCAGCAGGGCGCTGGTGGCAGGAGCAGCCGACGCTGCTGGCAGGGCTCTGTCGTCCCTTGATTACCACTTTTGTGCTCCCAAGATCAAGACCTGATGACTACAGTGTTCGCGTTGACCAAGACCAATAATGACATTTGAGGCTTTTCCAAGGTTATTATACGGTGTTAGCAGCTTGTGTTTTTGCTAGGCAGCTGCTGCTTCAAAATAATATATATTTCTGTAGCGGTGTTAGGGTTTGGGCATATTTGCCACGGTTTCTATCAGTCTCTGCAGCTCTGTGCTGTGTGTTCGTTCCTGCTTGTTTATGAAATGATTATAAAGCAGTGTGTATCTTGTCAGTAAACTACACCATGTAATCCATAGTGCCAAGCCCTGTAATTGTAATGCATGATCTGGAGCTTAGTTTGATTCTGAGCTTTTCAACAGATTCTTTGTTCAACTAGTCAATAGAGGCTTGTATGGCAAATCCGAAGTTTCAACACTTGTACACCAACTCAAACCTCAAACCAAGTTCATGAGGTACACTACACTACTGCCTAGCATCCCTAAGATCTGGATGCTAGTTGTTGTCACAGTTTTACATCTATATGGAACTACACTCATGTAAAAATGTCTACTCATATGCTAGCAACATGCATCGCAGTTTCACTTGCAGCTTTGCCTTCGTCGTTGTTTGTAACCAGGCTCTTGAGTTTGTCTGGTTGCCAGATCAGATGGTCACCACATCGCCAGATTGCCAGGTCAAATTGTCGCCGGGTCGCCTGGTTGCCAGGTCATCACAACCTTCTCAGCAGTGGTTGGTGATCGTCGTCGCTGGTAACCAGTTCGGTTACAGGTGTTGTAACAGGGTCACCTGAGTGTGAACTGTGTGCTTCTCCTGCTTGTGGCCCCATGGTCGAGCCTAGAAAACGCCTGCTGTTACTGCTGCTGGTGCCTGGATTCCCGCTGCTCGTGCTTGGATTTCTGCTGCTGCTGATATAATCTCCCTCTCTATTGCCGCTGTAATAATCTCCTTCTCTGCTGCTGCTGCTGGTCCTGGTGTGGTTGCCCTCTCTGTTACCAGTGCTGTGACTGGGGTGATCAGGCGAGAATGGGCCGGAAAATTCCTGCATTGGTGGGTTGACAAACAAGATTCGTGGGTTTGAGAGTCCTGTTCGCAGGGGTGCTATGCACCATAGAATATCATTGGTGGGATTCGTTTATCGAAGAATGTTGGACTCTGGAACTGAAGGGAAGAGCGGAACTGAAAGAGAGAAAAGGGGAAGAGGGGAGGAGGGAAGAGGGAAGGAGGGCGAAGAAGGAAGAAAACAGGAGTTACAAGGTGCGATGCAATAAAATGAGCAGCCGACTTGCCTGTGACGGAGGCTGGCTGTATGGGAGTGATGCAGACGAGGCATCATGAGAGGAGGGCAGGGGGGAGCAGGGAAGAAGGATTGAGAGGAAGAGGGGAGGAGGGGAAGAGGGAGAGGGTGTGATAGAGAAGTGCACTTGCCTGTGAGGGAGGCTGGCTGTATGGGAGAGATGCAGAGGAGGCATCAAGAGCCATGTCACCACTGCAAAGAGACAAACGAGGGGGGAGGAGGGGAAGAGGGAGGGGAGAGACGAGAGACGAGTGAGGCAACACGTGCAAGATAGGGAGAGATGAAGATTGACAAGGCATCAAGAGCCAGATTACAAATACAAAGAGAGGGAGACCAGACTAGTGAAACTGTTTTTAGTCGACTCAAAGACAGCAAGTGTAGGCTGGGGAGAGATGAAGATTGACAGGGCATCAAGAGCCAGACCAGATCACACCTACGAAGAGAGAGACCAGACTAGTGAAACCTGCGAACAATTGGACCTCGAATCAAATGGACATATAATTTACCGGACATGCAATCAAACGGACATGCAATCAACCGGACATGCAATCAACCTGACATGCAATCAACCGGACATGCAATCAACCGTACCTGAAGTGGAGATTTGGTCCATACCTGTACTCAAGGCTTGTACAGTACCTATAGTCAAGCCCTCGAATGCTCATCCTGAGGAGCCTAGGAATGCCGCCTCGTGACTGGGGGGAGAGATCACCCAAATGCAAGGGGGAGGACGGAGCAGCAGAGGGGGAGGAAGGTGCGGCAGAGGGGGTGGCATAGGGGGAGGCATCGGGGGAGACAGGAGGGGAGGCGGACGGGGAGACATAGGGGGAGGCAGCAAGGGGGCCGGCAGGGGGGGCGGCTGTAGTGTAAGGTTGAGTAAGGTAAGGGGAGGCGGAGGGAGAGGGGAGCGAGTGAGAGAGATGGGAGGAGTGGGGCGAGTGAGAGGGAGAGGGAGGGAAGCGGGGGAGAGAGTGTGGAGTGGAGAGGGGGAAGTGGATGGAGTGGGAGTGAGTGGGGCGAGAGGAGGAGTGGGAGTGCGAGCGAGTGGCTCTGGTGGAAGGGTTGTTTGCTGTTCCTCTTGCTGCTGTCTCCCTTCCTTCTCCTCCCCATCCTCCTCCTCCCCATCCTTCTCCTCCTCTTGCTGCTGCCTCTCCCCCTCTTGAACCATCCTCTCGCCCATCCAACAATGCTGGTGCCTCTGCCACTGCTCCTGCTCCTGCTCTTACTTGCTGGGAAGGAGCAAACAGCCTTTGTGGCACCAACCCAAACGGGTTCTGACGTGGCTCAAATGAACTGGCTGGAGTGTGAGAAGACCGAGGTACTTGCCCGTATGAGCTGCCAATGACCACCAGGGCAGGATTCCGTGCAAAGGAGGTAGGCGCGTGGGCAGATGGGGCAGAGTTCTGGGCATATCGAGTAGCATTCTGTACAGTTGAAACAGGAGGGGTTGCAGGAGGGGTTTGTGCACTACTAGAGTCTCTAGTGGTGCTGGTCTGTGCTTGAGGCGACCCAGAGATCGAACCCTGCCTGGTGCTAACGTCTCTGGTAGTGCCCTCTGCTGCATTCGGCCAGGCCCAACCTGGTCTGGCCGAAGAAGACCGGGTTGCCAGGTTCGGCAGATCCGAACTTGATGCGGAGGCTTCGGATGGGATGGGTTGGGGTGTGGAGTGGTGGGGGAGTTGGTGCAGTGGTGTGGAGAGGTGGAGAGCGGTGATGGGCTGTTGGGAAGTGAGGAGCTGGTGAGCAGTTGAGAGGTGTTGCGGTGAGGTTAAAGGGGGTACGGAGGGGTGGGGAGAGGCGGAATGAGAATGACTGGGGGGCAGCATTAGGGGGGGGATAGGGGAAGGGGAAGGGGCGGTTTGGGGAGGGGCGAAATAGGATTGGGGGAGAGGGTAGGGGAGGAGAGAGTGGTGGGGAGAGGTGATGGGAAGGAGAGGGGCTGACATGGAGATGTGAATGGGGCGAGAGAGAGGGGTGGAGGGGGAAATGCCAACACCACCAGCACCAGAAACACTAGCACCGATCACAGCACCAGCAGCAGCTGTAGCAGCGGTGGAGGATGGGGTGGTGGATGGGAGAAAGGAGGTATTGGGAGTGTGGAGGGACGGAAAGGGCAGAGGACTGGGTGAAGGGTAGTGGTGCTGATACTGCTGCTGCTGCTCCTGATGTTGCTGGTCGTGCTGGTGGTATTGCTGGTGCCGGGATTGGGGCTGTTGCTGCTGCTGGTAGCTGCGGTGGCGGTGGTGGTGGCTCTGTCGCGCACTTGATGCCTGCTCCAGTGACTGTTGTGACTGATGGTATTGTTGCTGGTGTAGGTGGTGGTATTGATGGTAGGAGGCTGAGGAGGAGGAGGAGGCGGGAGAGGCATGGGAGGAAGATCTGGAGTAAAGAACAGGAGCAAGAAGCGTCCTGGTGAGGTGGAGAAGAGAGGGGAAGAGGAGGGGAGAGGAGGGGAGAGGAGGGGAACAAAGGGGAGAGAAGGAGAGGAGGCATGTGAGTCGGTATGGTATAGAGAGCATGAGAGGACGAAGAGGAGGATGAGATGGAATAAGGCGAGGTGGCAAGAAGTGTGCTGGAGAGGGGGAGACGAGAGGAGAGGGGGAGACGAGAGGAGAGGGGGAGACGAGAGGAGAGGAGGAAAGGTGGGAAAGAGAAGGAGATGAAGAGACAGGAGAGGAGGCATGTGAGTCGGGTTGAACATGGGAGCACAAGAGGAGAAATGGGAAATGAGAAATGAGAAATGGGAATAAGGCACAGGGGCAAGAAGCATGCTGATGAGGGAGGGGGAAGAGGAAGGGAAAGAGAGACTTTTGAGGCGCCTCAAAAGAAAGAAGCATGCTGATAAGTTGGATGAGGAAGGAAAAGAGAGAAATAGATCACATGTGTTCACTCCCCTTTTGAGATGTCTCACGTGCGTTTTGAGTCGACGCGAAGGCAACCTCGCACCTGGTCATGGGGGAGTGATCAAAGGCCATTGCACGGAGGGCTTGCACCACGTCTCCCATGGCTGGTCGCAATAAGGGATCGCCCTCTCTTTCTGAAACACTTTAAGTGTGTTCTGAGTCGACTAGAAGGCAGCACACACACGCACCTGGTCATGGGGGAGTGCTCGAACGCGATGGCACGGAGGGCTTGGACCACGTCTCCCATTGATGGTCGTGCTGACGGCTCACTCTCCTTGCACCGAATGGCTATGGCCATGGCCTCCAGTGCATAGCTATCCTTTTTCAAGTCGACTCAGAAATTGACAAAAGAGAGTGCACATACGCACCTGGTCATGGGGGAGTGATTGAAGGCGATGGCACGGAGCACCTGCGCCACATCCCCAATGGCTGGTCGCGCTGAGGGCTCACTCTCTTCCTCTGAAGCGTCTCACACGTGTTTCACATGTGCTAGGGGTCCTATCAAAGGACAACTGACGCACGTCATCTCGCACCTGGTCATGGGGGAGTGCTCGAAGGCGATGGCACGTAGCGCCTGCACCACGGCTCCCATGGCTGGGCGCGCTGAGGGCTCACTCTCTGTGCATCGCATGGCTATGGCTGCCGCCCGCGCTGAGGTGATGGGCGAGCATCGCACGCACCTGGTCATGGGAGAGTGTTCGAAGGCGATGGCACGGAGGGCTTGCACCACGTCCCCCATGGCTGGTCTTGAGGAAGGCTCACTCTCTGTGCACCTCATGGCTATGGCTGCCGCCCGCGCCATGGCCTCCAGTGGATAGCTGCCGCCCAGACGCGGGTCGGCGAACTGACGCAGGCCTTGTTTGCTGTCGGCGGGAGAGGGTGGGGTGGGATGAGATGGGATTTTTTAGACGTTTCAACACAACATGGATGGGATAAGATAAGAAAAGCTGAATGGAATCGAGTAAATAGCTGCCGCGCCGCCCAGACGAGGGTCGGCAAGCTGGCGCAGGCCTTGCTTGATGTTGGTGGGAGAGGGTGGGGCGGCATGGGATGGGATGGGATTTGCATCAGATTGAGGATTTCCAAGAACGCCTACAGCACAGGCATGCATGCAGACATGTGCGAGGAGAGGAGAGGAGAGCTGCTTGTAGCGAATAAAACGAGAGGAATAAGATAGATTCATAACTAGGCATGCATGCACGTACGAGGATAGGAGAGGCGTGGCCCACACCACGATGCTCAATACACCCGGCCTTGGCCCTCCGTTTCCCCCAGCTGCTGCTGCTGCACAGGCACCTTCTAGAACTGAGGTATTTGCTGCACTCTCCTCCTCGCCAGCTGTTGCCACAGCTTTTACAGCACCATCTGCACCGTTCACAACCGCTGCACTTTCCTCCACAGCTGCTGCTGCTGCATCGCCAGCCGTTTGAGTTGACTCTAGAGACACAAGGGCAGGGCGGGCCGACGATGCTTGAGGTGCTTCAAGAATCTGTTGAGTCTGCTCCAGAGGCACAAGGGCAGGGCGGCCTGAGAGCACTTCCAGCAGCACGACACCGAAGCTGAACACATCACTCTTGGTCGCCACTCGGCCTGTCAGCGTGTATTCAGGCGCCATGTACCCAAACGTGCCCCTCATGTGCTGGGATTCCAGCCCAACTTTCTCTCCTTCCCCTCTGCCTCTTGCTCCTTCTTCCGCTCCTATTATGATCCTTTGATTTCCCCCATCTTCATTGTCCCCTACTTGATTCTCCTCCCCTTGCTTCGCCTCTCTTGCCTCTGCTCCTTCCTCCCCCTCCTCCCCCTTCTCTCCCTCCTCTCCCACCTCCGCCTCCCCACCTCCCCTCCCCCCCACACCCCTCCCGCCACCCCCCACCTTCTCCCTCACCACTCTCGCCAGCCCCAGATCCGCAATCCTAGCCGTCCAATCAGAATCCAGCAGGATATTCGACGTCTTTAAATCCCGGTGGATAATCTGCGGGCTAGAATCCTCATGCAGGTAAGCTAACCCCTGGGCCGCCCCCAGTGCTATTTTCAGCCTTGTAGTCCAGTCTAGAACGGCGGGAGCAGGGGAGAGGGCGGAGTGGGAGGAGGGGAGGGTGGGGGGGTGGAGGCTGGAGGTGGGGAGGGTGGAGGAGTGGAGGTGCTCCCTCAAGCTTCCTTTTTCGGCTAGCTGGAAGACAAGACAACGCACGCCGCCCTCGTCGCAGGTTCCCAGAAGCTTCACGACGTTCTTGTGGTTCAGCCGGCTCAGCAGCCGGGCCTCCGTAATAAAATCCCTCTCCGCCCCGGGCAGCGAATCAAATCTTTTCACGGCGACCAGTTTGCCGCCCGGCAGACACCCTCGGAACACCTGGCTGGATCCGCCTCGGCCAATCAGGTTGCTAGGGTGGAAACCACCGGTGGCTGTGTGGATTTCTGTGAGGGAGAATGAGAAGGTGGCTTCAGCAAAAGGGGCTAGGGTTTGCATAGAAGCTCCTCTAGAGGACCCTTCTCTTAGGGCTCCTTTACCCCTGCTTGCTGCTACTCCTCCTCCTCCTCCACCTGCTCCACCTGCTCCTCCTGCTCCTCCTAACCCGCCTTCTCCTGCCCCTCCTTCTCCTGCTCCTCTTTCTGCAAATGCTCCTACTGCTGCTAATCTCGCCCCAATCGCAAACCCTGCTCCTGCTCCTGCTGCTCCTGCTGCTCCTCCTGCTACCACCCCTCCACCTGCCCACTGCCTCTCTGCCCCCGATGCAAGCGGCGTGTAATGATCGTCATCACCTTCCCCCCCACCCCACTCCTGCACCTCTTCTCTCTCCTCCCCCACCTCCCTCTCTCCGCCTCTCCCTGCCCGCCCAACGCCCCCTCTTCCTCTTGCTCTCCCCTCATCCCGCTCCTCCCTCCCCTCCTGCTGCCCAGACCTCCCCCCACGTTCCCACCCTATCCTCTCCGCCCCACCCTCCATCCACCCTTCTCCCGCCCCATCTCCCTCTCCTTCTCCTGCCCCTCTCCCTCCTTCCCTCCCTCCTCCCCTCCCTCCTCTCCTCCCTCCGCGCCCCTTTTCCGCCTTCCCCTTCCAACTCCCCACCAGTTTTGCAGCCCCCTTCCCTGCTTTCTCCCACGGTCTCCTCCTCACGCACCAAACCACCACACAGAGAGTAATAATCGCGAGGATCAAGGCGGGGAGAACAATCACGAGCATCACCTTCCAGTAAGGCATGCCCCCGGATGCAGGAGGGGGTGGAGTGGAGGGAGGCGAGGGGGAGAACGGGGAGGAGGAAGAGGCGGAGGAGGGGGGTAGAGGGACAGGAGAGGTGGAGGGGGAGAGCAGAGGAGGGGGTGGAGGCGGGCGTTGACCTGGGGGAAACACAGGGGGGCAACGAGAGCGGGGGGAGAGAGGGAGTAGAGAGGGGGGAGCAAAGGGAGAAGAGGGCAGGGAAGAGGCATGAATGACGATAATCGCGAGGATTAAGGAGGGGAGAACGATCATAGGCATGACCTTCCAGTAAGGCATGCCCCCGGAGGCAGGAGGGGGTGGAGTTGACGGGGGGTAAGGGGAGGACGGGGAGGAGGAAGAGGAGGAGGCGGAGGGGGTGAGAGGGACGGGAGAGGCAGAGGCGGGAGGTGGGCGTTGGCCTGGGGGAAAAGCAGGGGGGAAACAACGGGGAAGGAGAGCAGTGGGAAAAAGCATGAATGAGGATAATCGCGAGGATCAAGGCGGGAAGAACGATCATAAGCATCACCTTCCAGTAAGGCATGCCCGCGTGGGCAGGAGGGGGTGGAGTTGAGGGAGGGGATGGCGAGGTGAGGGAGGAGGAGGAAGAGGTGGAGGGGGAGAGAAGAGGAGGGGGCGGTCCAGCACCAGCGATCCGCTCAACAGCAGTTCTCCACTCAAAAGCGGCTTCTTACTCTCCCTCCCTCCCTCGCTTCATCTTCCGCTCACCTGGGTTGAGCACCAAAATCACTTCGTACGCCCCGAACAGCTGCTGGTGCAGCACCAGGGATCCGCTCAACAGCACTTCTCCACTCAAAAGCGGCTTCTCTCTCTGTCTCCCTTCGTCTTCCCTCTCTCACCTGTACTCTATTCCCCTCAACTGGGTTGAGCACCAGAATAACTTCGTACGCCCCAAATCAAACAGCTGCCGATGCAACACCAACCATCCCTCAGGAGCAGTTTTGAGGCGCCTCAAAAGTCCCTCAGGAGCAGTTTTGAGGCGCCTCAAAAGTCCCTCAGGAGCAGTTTTGAGGCGCCTCAAAAGTCCCTCAGGAGCAGTTTTGAGGCGCCTCAAAAGTCCCTCAGGAGCAGTTTTGAGGCGCCTCAAAAGTCCCTCAGGAGCAGTAAACAGCTGAGAAGAATGTTCTCTTTCTCTCCCTCCCTCCCTCCCTTCACCTTCCCTCTCACACTTGTACTCTCGCGCGCTCACCTGGGTTGAGCACCAATATCACTTCGTACGCCCCGAACAGCTGTTGATCCAGCATCAACGATCCGCTCAACAACAACCGTCGGATGCGATCCACCTCTGCTGCACTCAGCCGATCCGTGATTGGCTGCTGCCGAGCAGTCGCGGCAACTGGTGGGCGGGAGGAGGAGGAGGACTGCAGGAGGCGAGAGACTTTGCCCGATGATGACGAGTGATGAGAATGGGGGGAGGGAGAGGAGGAGGATGAGAAGGATGAGAAGGATTGCTGTAAGGCTGCAGTTGCTACTGCTTCTGTACCTGCTGCTGCCGCGGGTGCTTTAATTTGTCTCGCTTCGACACCCATTCCACCAGTTGTCATCTTCCCTTGAGAACCAGTGGCACTTGCAGCAGCAGCAGCAGATGAGGCAACAACAGCAGCGGATGAGGCAGCATCAGCAGCACCAGCGGTTGAGGCTGCAGCAGCAGAGGTTGAGGCGGTGGCAGCAGCAGCAGAGAAGGAGGAGGAGGAGGAGGAGGAGGAGGAGGAAGAGGAGGAGGAGGCGAGGGGTAGGAGATACACAGTGACATCCAGAGCAGCAGGATCAGGGTCATAGTTCACTGCCCACACCTGCACAGCATGTGGTAACCGGGTTACAAATGGGGGGAAAAGGAGGAAGAGGGTGAAGAGGTACACACACAGTGACATCCAGAGCAGCAGGATCAGGGTCATAGTTCACTGCCCATACCTGCAGCAGGGATGGTAACCCGGTTACCAGTGGGGGGAAAGGAAGGGGATGAGGAGCAGGTGGTAGTAAACAGTAGGATCTAGGGCAGCAGGAATCAGGGTCATAGTTCACTGCCCACACCTGCAGCAGTGTGTGGTAACCAGGTTACAAATGTGGGGAAAGGAAGGGGAAGAGAGTGAAGAGGTACACACACAGTGACATCCAGAGCAGCAGGATCAGGGTCATAGTTGACCGCCCATACATGAACTGAATGTGGTAACCAGGTTACCAATGGAGGAGGGGGAGGGGGTGTGGAGCAGCAGGCGGTGGGTTCTCAAATCCAGAGCAGCACGGGCCATGGTTAAAACCAGGGTCTCACGTAGATCATTTGTTTTGCAGTTGATGACTTCACCTTGGTTAGGATTGGTTGGCGAGGTGTAAAGAATGACGAGCGGTGTGACGAGGGGAGCGAAGGAAACACAAATCGCAGTTTGTGTCCGAACCATCTAGGCACGGAAATTGGTTTGGTGCCAAAGCTAGAACACCAGCAAAATGTTCTAGCATCCCGTCAGTCTCATGTACCATCAAAATGTTTTGCAATTACATCAGAGGCAAAAACAGGAGGTGTCGCACAGTCAATTGCCAAACCAAACCCTAGACTTCGCCACCTCAAACAGGGTGACTAAGCTTCAATTGTTTTGCAGTTGATCACAATTTCTCTTACGTGAGACCCTGGTTTTAATTGACTGCTCATACTTGATTCTGCTGCAGCATGGGGGAGGTTGCCGTCTGGGCAGTGAAGGCGGGGAGGTTGAGGAGGAAAGAGTCGAAGCCGCAATAGAGCTTCATAACGACCGCCACGGGAAGGCCGCATGTGCGAATAGGGTGGGAGTCTGAACTCAGTCTCACACTCAACCCAGCTGCAAACCCTCTGACTGACTCACCTCCACTTGCTCTTTCTCAAGTGTGAGCGAGGTAGCCGTCTGCATAGCGAAGGCTGGGAGGTTGAGGAGGAAGGAGTCGAAGCCGCAATAGAGCTTCATAACCACCACCATGGGGAGGCCACAGGTGCAGGGCGGAGGGGCGGAAGGGGGTGCGGCGGGGGAGGCGGAGGAGGGGGTGGGGGAGGGGAGGAGGACGTATGTGTCTGGGCAGGGGGGACAATCTGGTGGGAAAAAGGGGGAAAGGGGGGAAGGAGATAGTGGTGGGGAGTGGCGGGAGAGTGGAGTGAGAACAGGAGGAAAGAAGCAAGTGGTATGCAGAACATGTGACGTGAGAAATGTCATGTTCAGAAGAAGAAGAGAGGAACTAGAGACGCGGGGAAGAGAGAAAATAAGACTGGTATTGGTGAATCAATGAAGGAGGAAAAAAAAAACAGAACGATGACAGCGAGTCACTCCCCTGCCACCTGATAAAAATAAGTAATGATCTAACAAGTCGTAGGAGATAAGACGAAAACTCACTTCTGCTATCCGGTGGGGGGGGCGGCAGCGGAAGTGACGGGGGCGGCAGCACAGGCGAAGGAGGGGGGTTCCAGATGGTGACAGGAGCATGGGAGGAGTTAGGGTGCGGTAGGTGCCGGGTGTGGCGGCGGCGCTGCTGGTGCTGAGGCAGGTGGTTTTTCAGGTGCTTTTGGCGCTGGAGCAGGTGGTATTTCAGGTGCTTTTGGTGTTGGAGCAGGCGGTTTTTCAGGTGACGGTTGTAGCGGTGGTGGTTTGACTGGTGGGGGCTCTGTTGCGGGAGAGTTGGCAGGTGGTTGTGCTAGGGGTGATGAGGGTGTGAGAGGAGGGGGGGAGGGAGGAGAGAGAGGAGGAGGCTGTTTTGGAAGGGTGGGAGGGAGGAGAGAAATGGGGGGAGAAGGGGGGAAGTCTGGAGGAGGGAAAGGAGGAGGGGGGTGCGGCAGGGGGTGCGGAGGGGGGTGGGGAGGGGGGTGGGGAGGGGGGTGAGGAGGGGGGAGTGGAGGGGAGAGAACAGGAGCTGGGAGGACAGGACCGAGGGTGTAAGGAAGAGAGGGGGGAGGTGAGGGTGGGAAGACGGACGGGGGAGAGGGGGGAAATGGGGGAGAGTGAGGTGGAAGGGAGGGGGAGGGTGGGGGAGCAGGGGCAGGAGGAGGGGGGAGAAGAGTAGGAGGAGGGGGGGAGTGAGGGAGTGAGGGAGGGGGAGGCTCTGTGGCATTACTCATATCATTAGAGTTGGCAGGTGGGGGGTGTGGGTGCGCAGGGGGGGAGGGGAAGGGAGGCGGGGGAGAGTCGGGGGAAGGGGGAGAGACCGGGGGTGGGCTAGGCGGAATGGGAGGGGGACGGGGGGATGGGGGAGGGGGGGAGGGGGAAGGGGGAGAAGGGGGAGGGGAAGGGGGCGCAGGAGCCTCTTGGGGAGGGGGCGCTGAGGACGAGGGGGAAGGCGGAGAGGAAGGGGGGAGAGCGGTTGTGGGGGAAAGGGGGAGAGGAGGCGCGGTTTGAGGGGGAGGGGCGAGCACAGGAGAGGGAGAAGGCGGGGGCGGAGGGGAGGGGGGGACAGGGGGAGGAGCAGGGGGGGAGGGGGGTCTGGGAGGGGAAGGGGGAGGGGAGGTGGGGGAGTTCATGTCACCAAGAGGGGGAGATGAGGGGAGAAAAGGGGAGGGAGGGGATGGGGGGGGGAAGGGAGGGGAAGGGGGAGGGGAAGGAGGGAAAGGAGAAGGAGGGGCAGGGGGAGGAGAAGGGGGAGAGGGGGGTCTGGGAGGGGAGGGGGGAGGGGAGAAGGGGGAGTTTAAATCTCCAAAAGGGGGAGACGAAGGGTAGGAGATAATGGGGGAGGGCGGGGAAGGAGGGGAAGGAGGGGAAGGAGGGGACGGAGGGGAAGGAGGCGTGGGAGGGGAGGGAGGTGGAAGTGGGGGGAATGGTGGTGCTGGGGGGGAGGGAGGGGGGGAGGCGGGAGAGTTGAGATCCCCGAATGGAGGCAGTAAGGGGTAGAGGGTCGGGGGAGGCGCGGGAGGTGGAAGGGGAGGGGGAATGGGAGGGGGGAAGTCTGAGGAGCGGAGGAATGTTGATAAGGTGTAGCGTGATGGATGAAAGGATGTGGGGGGGGGGAGAGGGGGGGGGGGGGGGCACAAAAAGAGGGAAAAGAAACAAGAAAAGAAGGGAAAGAGGAGGCAGAGATTAGTTTACGCAGAGAAGAATTGGGACCAAGACTTGCCTGTGAAGGAGATGGTGAATGAATGGTGAAGACAATGTGGTGGTATGGGGCTCTGGATTCAAAGGCAATGCTTGGAGTAGCATCACATGCTAAACTCTAGAGCACTGACACGAGAGCTGCGGCATGAAACTCTAAATTCAAATGCAACGTTTGAAACTCTGACTGACAGTCTATAATGGCTACGTGCTGAACGATCATGGGCACCCAAGAAGGCGAGAGACATGCGGTATGGGCATATGCGAGGAGCAGACGGGTACGAAACGCCACAGCTCAAACAAAGACGTGAAAGGGGTCAAGAGGATGTGAAAAAGGGGAGAAGAGAGTTTGAAAGCGGTGGAGAGGGTGTGAAAAGAGTGGAAAAGAGCTGACCTGGCGTTGGTGACGGTGGTGGTGACAGGGGCTGGGGTGGAGGGAGGGGAGAAGGGGCAGAGGAAGGAGGGAGGGGAGGAGGAGGAATGATTGGAGGAGGAAAGGGGGGCGAGGGAGTTGCAGGAGGGGAAGGAGGTGGAGAGGGAGGAGAGGGGGGGGAGGGAGGAGAGGGAGGAAGGGGAGGAGAGGGAGGAAGGGGAGGAGAGGGAGGGGAGGGAGGAGAGGGAGGGGAGGGAGGAGAGGGAGGGGAGGGAGGGGATGGAGGAAGGGCATGTGACGACGGTGTTGATGTCAGTTCCTGGAACCACAGGTCCACAGGGGCATGGGATGGATGGATAGATGTAACATGCATGGATGAATAGATGTAAAACGCATGGATGAATAGATGTAAGATGCATGCATGGAAAATGAGAAACAGGAAGAGGAGACGAGAGGAAACGAGGGAACCACTTACAAGCGAGGATGAGGAAGTGGTTGAGAATGGGATGAGATGAGGGAGAGCAGCCGCGGAGCAAGCAAACTACCTGAATGCACCGGAGTGCACCGCACTGCATTGCACTGCATTCCATGAGGCAGCCACTTACCAGCGAGGATGTGGAAGCGGTTGAGAATGGGATGAGGGAGAGCAGCCGCAGAGCAAGCAAACTACCTGAATGCACCGGAGTGCACCGCACTGCATTGCACTGCATTCCATGAGGCAGCCACTTACCAGCGAGGATGTGGAAGCGGTTGAGAATGGGATGAGGGAGAGCAGCCGCCGAGTCAGCAAACTCTTGACAGCGGCACTGGTGGTTGCAGCTTCGGGAGCTGACGTGGCAGGCGTATCAGTATGTGACGTGGCAGCAGTGTGTGACGTGGCAGCAGTGTGTGATGTGGCAGCAGTGTGTGATGTGGCAGAAGCATGTGACGTGGCAGGCAGTGACTGGCTGATGTGGAGGAGGACTCGGTCCATGTGAAAGGTGACCTGAAAAAAAAAGGGGGGGAGAGCAAGAGCGGAGCACGCGGCCAAGGGTGAGAGTGAGGGAATGAGTGAGGGAGTGAGGGAATGAGTGAGGGAGTGAGGGACATGAAGAGGGGAGATGGAAGGTACGGCAACGAAAGAGGGGTCTGATTGCGAGAGAAACGAGTAAAAGAAAAACGCGGATGGAGTCAAACGCGGATGGAGATAAACGAGGAGGGAGATAAACGAGGAGGGAGATAAACGAGGGAGATAAACAAGGAGGGAGATAAACGAGGAGGGAGATAAACGAGGAGGGAGATAAACGAGGAGGGAGATGAACGAGGAGGGAGAAAAACGAGGAGGGAGATAAACGAGGAGGGAGAAAAACGAGGGAGATAAACGAGGAGGGAGAAAAACGAGGAGGGAGAAAAACGAGGAGGGAGAAAAACGAGGAGGGAGATAAACGAGGAGGGAGAAAAACGAGGAGGGAGAAAAACGAGGAGGGAGATAAACGAGGAGGGAGAAAAACGAGGGAGATAAACGAGGAGGGAGAAAAACGAGGAGGGAGAAAAACGAGGAGGGAGAAAAACGAGGAGGGAGATAAACGAGGAGGGAGAAAAACGAGGAGGGAGATAAACGAGGAGGGAGATAAACGAGGAGGGAGAAAAACGAGGAGGGAGATAAACGAGGAGGGAGAAAAACGAGTATGAGAACAAGAGTGAGTGACAGCATACCTTTCTTGACAAATGCGAGAAGAGTTGCACCCATCCTGACCCCTGCGTATTCTCTTTTGTCTTGCTCAGGTCCACCTCAGATGAATCTTCAGGTGTTGAGACTGCGCCTGACGTGGCTAATGGCAGGCCTGACGTGGCAAATGGCGTGCTTGACGTGGAATCTTCAAGACTAGAGAGTGGTAATGATGAGTGATGGGGGGGAGATGAGGACGAGTGGGAGGAAGATGACAGAGGGGCTGAGGGGGAGTGGGAGGATGAAGGAGGAGTGAGTGGGTTCTGAGGAGCAAGAGGAGGAGGATGAGGATGAGGAGGAGGTTGTGCAAGGGGGAGGGAGATGTTCCACGTGTGCATGAGGATGTGGCGCGCCATGAGTCCTGCAAGCCATGCCACGTCATCAGTGCGGTGCTGACGCAGCCAGAGAGAGCCAGGTGGCAGCAACCTGTTGGTGGGGGTTGAGAAAGGAGGAGGTGAAAGGTTGAGATGGGATGGGTGGTGGGAAAGAGGTGGGGATGGGAAGGGCAGCTAAAGAGACGTTGATCATAGCAGGCACTGGCAGGGAGGAAGGGAGGGAGAGAGAGGCAAGTAAGGAGGAAGAGATTCGAGAAACACGAACAGAGGGAGTTGCAGCATACAGCAGCAGAGGAGAGGGAGAGGGAGAAGCAAGTGCCGTCTCATTCAGACACGGTTATCATAGCAGCAAAGGGAGTCCAGGCAAATATCAGAGCACGAGCCATCAGCACACAGCAGGCGCAGCATTCCTTCCAGCACAGGGGGTCAAGGATAACATACCAGCAGAGGGAGTCCACGCGGATATCGGAGCACGAGGCATCGGCACACAGAAGAGGGGGACGATGGAGAGGTGTTAGCACATATAGGCAGAGAGAGTCAGTACATACCAGCAGAGCGAGTCCAGGCGAATATCGGAGCATGAGCCATCAGCACACAGCAGCCGCAGGGACCCGCTCTCATTCACCTCCGCCAGAAGCTCCTGCCAATCATGCTCTGCCACGTGGCTGCCTGCCAGCCACAGGAGCGCCACGACTGGCCGCTTCCCCCTCCTACTGCTGCTGCTGCTGCCACTGCCACCGTTGCTGCCACTGCTGTTACTGCTATCCACTCCATCCTCTTTGGTCTCCTGCTCCGTCTCATGAAGCAGATTTAAGCACGAGATAACCCCCTCACCAGAGCACACACGCATGTTCCCAACCAAGTCTTTCCCCTGCTGCCGAGCCTGCTGCTCCCAGACCTCCTCCGCCTCCATTCCAAGCCCCATCCGAGCCAGCAGGTCCGGCATTCTGTCGCACATTCTACCTGTCACAATCACCCCTACCGACCCGCTCGTTATGTTGCCGTATCTGGCAGCAGCAACAGCAGCAGCAGCAGCAGCAGCAGCAGCAGCAGCAGCAGCAGTTGGTGCTGCTAATTTTTTATAGCCTCTTGATTTCTTCCGTCGAGCCTTTTTCTGGGTTTGCTGCTGTTGCTGTTGTTGCTGCTGGTGCTGGTGCTGCTTCTGCGTCTGCTGTTCCTGCTGCCCCTTCTTCAGCTTCTGTTGCGTCTGTTTTTTATCCACCACATCCTCTTCTCTTTGTTGCCACGGCTTTTGCCACTCGAGCTGCCCCTGCTGCCCACCTGCATTGCCACTTGATACCTGTACCTCCCCTCCCTCCTGATCCCGCTGCTTTTCCCGTTGTTGCTGCTGACATCTTGGCTCTCGCTGTTCCTTCTGCTGCTGCTGCTGCTGCTGCGTCTGCTGCGAACCATCTGCGAGATGCGATTGTAGAAGATCCAACGGCGGAGACAGCAGCGCCACGTCAGCAGCGCCATGGGCGGCGTGCGGAAGCAGCAGCGCGCGCCAGCAGTGGTGGTCGAGGGCGCGCGGAACGCTGGTGTTTGGAGGGGAGAGGGGGACAAGGGCGGGGGGAGAGGGGGGAAGGAGGGGGAGGAGTGGGAGGTGGAGTGGGAAGAGTGGGAGGTGGAGGGGGGGAGGAGGGGGAGGGGGGAGGGGGAGTTTTGAGACGTGAGCAGCCGCGCGCGCCAGCAGGGCTGTTCGAGGGAGTGCGGAACGCTGGTGTTCGGGTGGAGGGGAGGGGAGGGGGAAGTTGGAAGGGGGTGTGAGGGGGGGGGGGGGGTGTCGTGGGGAAAGGAGAAGCAATGGCGGAAAGGGAAGGGGATTTCGTAAGTTCAAAAGGGAGGGCGGAGAGGGAAGAAGGCTGAGACGAGCCTAAGAAAACTATTTCTAAGAAGCCTAAGAGAAGATGTTTGAGACGTCCAAAGAAGCAATGCTGAAGCGGTTGATAGCTGACACACACCATTTCCAGCACGGTGGGTGCGATTGGTCCGAGTCACAGGTGTTGTCGTCGCCGCTGGAGTGTGACTGTAAGAGGAGGTTCTTGCAGAGGGAGGAGGAACTACCCTCCACCACGCACCACCGGACCTCTGCATCACGGCACGCAAGCGCAAGCACACCGGACCACAAGGGAAAGGAAGGCAATGCGATGTGATGTGATATGGTGTGATGTGTGATGTAATGTGATGTGACTGAAACAAGGTTGCAATAACGAGGTGACACTTGAGTCGACTCAAACGTCACCTTCATGCGATGTGATAGAAACGGGGTTACACCGTTAAACGGCATGCATTCCCCGGCCGGATAGCACCGCATCGCATCGCATTTAACCAAATAGTCTTATTAGTCGGCACAAAAGCCAGACGAACGGCATTTTCATCAGCAGCAGGCGTCTCGTGCAACGCAGCAAGACACGATGCAAGAGCGTATTCGTGAGAAGACGTTCAAGCTTATACCGAGGATGACGTCAACGCAGGCGAGGACAAGCAAAAACAACGGAGAGAAGTGAATCTGAGATGAAGTATTTGAAGCAAGCGGAAGGCCGTTACCTTCACCGGCGGCCGGTAGATTCGCCGGCAAGAGCAGGCTGACAATAAGGAGCGAGGCGAGCCATACTCTCAAAAACTTCTCGGAACGCCGGTATCTCTTCGTCGGATCTCTATAAATAAGGTGCTGACGTGGGCCGTGCGGCTGACGCGGATCGCACTGATCTATCGGCTCGTTGCCGTCGTGAAGTCTGACGCTAGGTTCCGGATCCCCGTCGCACGACTGGTTTAGTCGGCGAGTCATGCGAAATCGCCTTGTCGCTACCAGTCGCGGACTATTATTCGCATCATCCATTTTCCCTTCGTCGCAGAGCTGAATCGCAATGCGGGAATGGCGGTACGCATTATAAGGTCGTTCCCAGCGGAGCGTTTCATCGTCAGTGTTACGACGAGTCACGAGCGGGAAGCTCGCAGCTACGATTCTTACCACATCGCTTATCCTGCAGCGAGCGTTCAAACGTCGAAGGCAAATGACTGTATAATGCTGTACTTACTCTCGCTTTCACTCACTCTCCCTCCAAATGTGACTCTGTCTACCTTTCCCGATAGTGTCTCCGCGTGCTCAACGCGAAACTACCTGAGTGCGTTACAGGTGAAGACTGATATTCCCAAGGAGCATCAGAAGCGGATTTCCTGTCCCTGACTCTAACTCGGGATAGCTCTGGTGATTATCCCGAAGTGGACAGCTTCCGAAGCCACTTGTTCGGTAAGAACGAGAAGTCTACTATCCGTCAGGTTACGTTATTACTAGCGATCAGCGTCACATTACGTCACCTTACGTCACGTCACATTAGTGCCGGCCAGTGCTGGTGGTCAGTTACACATAAAATACGAGGTAGTAACCGAGCGGCCATGAATGGATTTCGTTCATGAAAGTCGGTGTCTTGTCTGTTTTTCAGGAAGGCCAGTTAGCCTCGAACTCTGAGATGGGTTTTGCACGTTACAATATGTTTTAGTGAGCTATTTGTGCGGTGTAGTGTGGTGGATGTTCAAACACAAGAGAACATACCACATTACGTCCAAGACTGGGAGGGAGGAATGGAGAGGGGGGAAGGCTGGCTGGTTACCAGCAGTTGGTCAGTTCACCCTCAGCTCCGGTGCGGCAACATCGAGGTTCGCGATGGTGAGGGAGAGCCCGCAGGGAAGCACCACGATGACTGTCTGGTTCGGTTTGGGGGTCTAGGTCTGGGCGCGGTTAGGCGAACCGCACAGCCGCGCCCCCTCAAGCTTGTGAGCTCTGATTCGGGTTCGGTACGTGTACAGTATTCGCGGGCGAAGAGAGAAACAGGCTCGAGACGGAGACATCTCCAAGCTAGGTGCTGTGCTGGAATGCTTGATGCGCATTCCCCAAGGCTTCAGGACTGTGCGACGAGTTCGCGATTGCGACAGCAACCCATCTTGTGTGATGGCCAATGTTTGATCGCCAAATTGGTCAAGCGAGGCAGTTACGATTGCACGATCAGCTGTTCAGGAGGTACGGATCGTATGGAGAAATGTTGGCAGCAGGATTGCTGCTCGCGCGGAGATTTGGGTGGGACGGGAGACCAACCTCCGCAGATCGGGGGGGGCTGGACAGAAGGGTTTTGATAACGGCAGGGGGAGGTGGGGAAAGTGAGGGGGAAGGGCTAGTGTGTGCGATCTCTGTGGTTCGGTCTGGTTCGGGGAGAAAAGTTTGGTCTGGAAACGGAGTTACCACCGTGCATGCGTGCGTGGCGAGAGTGTCAACGCGTTTGTTTGTCGAGCAGTGCACTGTTACGCGGCATAGAGGATGCCTTTTTGCCGAGCCGAGCCTCCATCCATAGGTGAAGGTCCTTGTAGAAGCTTCTCTGGAGTTGCCTAGAAATAGTGAGATACCAATGATCTTGACCAGGCAGGACAGCTGAATCGTTACAGAACACACCAGTAAGAAATGCGTGTGCATCATACAAAGTTGTTGCATACAAGAGGCTTCAGCAGCTTCAGCTAATCATGAAGTCCAAAAAGCTACCTTTCATGCAAAGGCCAAGAGCCGATTCAATTGCCCCCCTTTCAGCAGCATGATCATTGCATTCACAGCTTGCTGCATCTGCAATCGAGTAAAGAGGGGTGGAGAAAGGCAAACACAATCATGACAAATTCAAAACGGGTACACGGAAATCCATAGCCCCACATCCACAGCATTTTCTTCAGAGATACGTACACTGACATTCAATGGTGACTGTGGTGGCACACGGTCCACGTTAAACAAAACAGGCTGATCCTCCTCTCTCTACTGAATACACAATATTACACTTGGGGTAGATTCACTGACCTGCAACGGTGATTGTGGCGGCACGCTGACGTCCACATCAAACAATTCAGGCTGACCCTCCTCGGCCCCTTTCTTTGGGCAAAACAGCTTCACCCATACCTCTGCTCCTCTTCCACCGTCCAATCTCCCCACTCCATGCCCTTCCCCTTCGCCTTTATCCCCACTGCCATGTTTCCTGGGACCCTTCTTATACTGTTTTCGATCCGTTTGATCCTTGCGTTGCTCCTTTTCATTCTTGCTTGAAGCTTCTTCCTCACCCTCCCCCTCACACCCACCCTCATTCTCTCCTTCCTTCTCTTCTCCCTCCCTCTCTCCCTCATTCCCCAATTCACTCTCTCCCTCACCCTCTCCCTCATTCACTCCCTCATTCACTCCCTCACTCTCTCCCGCAGCACCCTCCGCTTTCCGCCGTGCAGCCTCTCTCACGCTCATCTGCCCTCGCAGAACCGCCAATAGCAGAGAGCCATCTGCATTTCCCAGGCTAACCGAAGGGATTCGCACTGCTGGATCAGAATCCCCTACCGCTGGTGTTTCTGCTGCTGATGGTGGTTCTTCTCCTAACGCTGATCCTTCTCCTGCCGCTGATCCTTCTGCTGCTTCCGATCCTTCTTCTGATACGGCTGCTGATGAAGGGTTGCATTTCCCTGGTGAGACTCTATCACCTGCTGCCATCATCTGCCCATCGGGCATGACTGTTTCTGAATCCGTTTCCTCACCACCCTGCGACTCTCCAGAATCAGGTGTGACTGCATCAGAATCAGGTGTGACTGCATCAGAATCCGTCCCCTCGCCACCCTTCCACACCCCACCATCAGCTGCAACAGCATCAGAATGGGGAACATCAGGGGCCATATTGAGCGGCGCTCCCCCCATCACATGGTTCACAACAATCACAGCAGCAGCGGCTGCTCTCTGTGCTGCTACCACCTTCTGTTGGAAGGAGCACCCCCCACGCATCACCACCACCACCCGCCCTTTCACCTCGCCAGGATTTGACAAGCACTCCACGCATGCTTGTATAGGGGAAGCTTCTGCTAGGGTTCCGAGAATGGAGCTGGAAGGAGAATGGGGATCGGTGGTGGAAGAAGGGACATCGGTGCTGGTTGCCGCTGCGGCTGCTGCTGCATTTCCTGCTGCTGCGTGTGCTGCTGTGGCGTCTGCATTTCCTGCTGTGGCCCTCTTTGCAGTGGTATCTGTCTTGGCTGATTCTTGTCCCTCGTTCAGACTGGGACAACCAGCACCATCATCAGCATCGGCATCAGCATCAGTGTCAGCAGCAGCACCAGCACCAGCATCGGCATCAGTATCCCCATACCCATCAACATCGCCGTCATCCTCAGCATCATAAACATCATCATCATCATCATCATCAGCACCATCATTCAAACAAAAGTCGTCACCACCACCATAACCATCGTCATCACCAGCATCACCATCACCACCATCACCAGCACCATCACCATCACCATCACCATCACCACCACCACCACCACCATACTTCCCACCATCACCACCATCACCCCCATCATCACCATTCCCAAGGAGAGGGCCAAACTCAGCAGCCCCTGCAGGCAGGTCGAAACTCACAGTATCCACAAGCTCCTGTCCCCTCCGTCTTCCCTCCCTCGCCTCCCCTCTTTCCCTCCTCCCATCCCCTCTTCCCTCCTTCCCCTCCCCTCGTCCCCCTCTGCACTCCTCTCCCCTCCCAAGCACCCCCTCCCCCGCATCGACCTCCCCACCCTCACCTTTCCCTCTCTCCTTTCGCTTCTCTCCCTCCCGCTCAACGCTCTCGCCCTCTCTCTCCTCCCCATCCTCTCGTACAATCACATTCGTTTGATGCCCAGAGGAACTCTCACTCTCGAGTGGGAGGAAGTTAACCAGGCGCACCACACAAGGGGGCGCTGCTGGGACCTTGTGCTCTGGGGGTGGGGATGAGGGACGGGGGAGAGGGGGGAAGGGGGTGAGGGGTGGGGGGAATTGGGGGAAGGAAGGGGTAAGGGGGAAGAAGTCAAGAGGAAGGGGAACACATGCTGGGCTGGGGGAACACATGACTCGCGACACCACCCCTCCCAACCGCATCCCACACATAGCACTCACGCACGAAGTACCACAGCAGATGCTGGTTACCAATGACTGTGGATAGAGGTTGAGGTTTAGGGTGTAGAGGTTGACTGTGAGAGTCTGAAAGCTGAAGAGGTTGACTGTGAGAGTCTGAAAGCTGAAGAGGTTGACTGTGAGAGTCTGAAAGCTGAAGAGGTTGACTGTGAGAGTCTGAAAGCTGAAGAGGTAGGGGAAGGCGGCAGAGAGGGCGGTCCAGGCAAGCCGGAGGGGCCGTGCCATGGGTCGACCATGCAGTAGCAGAGCACCCCTCCCAACCGCACCCAACCCACCCACAGCACCCACGGATGTAGAGGCTGACTGTGAGAGTCTGAAAGCCGGAGAGGTAAGGGAAGGTGGCAGGGAGGGCGTTCCAGGCGAAGCAGGAGAGGCCGTGCGCCATGGGTCGACCATGCAGTAGCAGAGCACCCCTCCCAACCACAGAGCACCCCTCTTAACGGCACACGACCCCTCCCAACCTGACCTCATCCACAGTATAGTACTTACGAATATAGAGGTTGACTGTGAGGGTCTGAAAGCCGGAGAGGTAAGGGAAGGCGGGTGTTAGGGTGTTCCAAGCAAAGCAGGAGGGGCCGTGTGATGGGTCGACCATGAAATAACACAGCAGGCGCTTGTTGCCCATGGCTCGCGACACCACCCCTCCCAACCGCACCCCAACCACCCACAGCACTTACGGATATAAAGGTTCACTGTTAAGGTCTGGAAACCCTGAAGGTAGGGGAAAGCGGCAGGGAGGGCGTTCCAAGCAAAGCAGGAGGGGCCGTGTGATGGGTCGACCATGAAATAGCACAGCAGGCGCTGGTTACCAATAACGCGTGACACCACCCCTCCCAACCGCCTCCCACCCATAGCAGCATCACCAGTACCACCCGCACCAGCACCAGCAGCACCAGCTGCACCAGCAGCATCGGAAAAAGGATTGTCCAGCTCTCCTGCAGGGCATTGGCCCAGCTCACCCACACCCTCTCGCCCTAATCCCTCCGCTCCCTGCTGCTGCGGCGGCGGCGGCTGCTGCTAGTTGCTGCTCCCTCTGCCGCTCCTGGAATCTGATAAAGGAAGCAAGTCGAGACACCTCCTCCTCTAGAGGGCTCCTCCATCTCTCGTCCCTCCTCCCCTGCATCAGCCGCAGCCCTGCTGCTTGCATTTTGAGCCGTCTCAGATCTCTTTCTCGTTGTTCATCCCTCTGTCTCCCCTCTCGATCCTGCCCTGCTTCTCGTTTCCGCCTCTCTCTTTCTCTGGTCCTCTCTAATCTCCGCCTTTTTTCGTCCCTCCCCATTCTCCGCTCTCTCCTTTCCCTCCTCTCCCTCTTCTCCCTTTCTTCCATCTCCATCAAACCTTCCTCCCTTGTCTCCGCTTCCTTCTCGCTTGAACTCTCCACGCTCCCTTTCTCACTTATAGCTGGCACTTTCTCTCCTTCCACATTACTAGCCACTCCACTCACCCGCACACCACTCTTCAATTCTCCACCCTCCACCCCTCCACTTTCCATCCCACTCTTCTCCTCTCCCTTTTCGCCTGCTTTCCCTGCTCCATCTCTCAATCTCCCAACCCCATCCTCTCCCTCCTTCCCGTCCCCCACCTCACCCCTCCTTTCCTCCCCCTCACCCTTCTCCCGTTCTTCTTCCTCGCCTCCTTCCCCCTCCCCACTCTCCTCATCCTCGCCCTCCCATGCACCATACCACCCCTTCCCTCCATGCTCCTCTCGTCCAAATGCCCCCACCACTGCCTCACAAACAAGCAGTCTCCTTAAAGCCAAGTCCGGTTCAACTAGAGAGCCCAAGGGGGAAATGGAGTCCTCACATACGCGTGACTCAAACGAGGGCTTGCGTGATTCAGGCGAGGGTTTGTGTGACTCAAGCGAGGGTTGTTGCTTCTCGAGCAAGGGGGGGTGTGACTGTAGTCGTTGTGATTGAACCGAGGGTTTTTGTGCCTCGCTCGCAGCCTGCGAGGCGGATTGCAACACGTCAGCATCCACATCAACGTCCATGTCGGCATCCACGTCACCAGTAGCAGCAACCACTCGGCAGTCGCCAGCTGACGACGTGTCCGGGTGGTCTTCGGATGGGCAGACGACACGGAATATTCTGGGAAGGTTCAGCGACAGGAGATGACCTTCTGTGGAGAACACGAACCGGGCGGCGATGTCGATGTGAGGAGAGAAGAGGAGGTAGAGGTACCTGGTGGGTGGGAGAGAAGAAGCAGTGATATCAGATAAAATCAGACCGGATCCTGCAATAGCTAGTGAGGCGCCCGGCGCCTCAAAAGGTGGCGATGTCAATGTGAAGGGAGAAGAGGAGGTAGAGGTACCTGGTGGGAGGGAGAGAAGAAGCAGTGATATCAGATCAAATCAGACCGGATCCTGCAATAGCTAGTGAGGTGCCCGGCGCCTCAAAAGGTGGCGATGTCAATGTGAAGGGAGAAGAGGAGGTAGAGGTACCTGGTGGGAGGGAGAGAAGAAGCAGTGATATCAGATCAAATCAGACCGGATCCTGCAATAGCTAGTGAGGTGCCCGGCGCCTCAAAAGGTGGCGATGTCAATGTGAAGGGAGAAGAGGAGGTAGAGGAACCTGGTGGGAGGGAGAGAACAAGGAAGCAATGATGTCGATTTTTCGGTCGACTGGGACAGGCCCCAAAAACTGAGACGATTTTTGAGGCGCCTCAAAAATCCTGGTGGGAGGGAGAGAAGAAGCAAGCAATGATGTTGAATCTGTTTTGAGTTGAATTATGAACACCAGGTTCAGAGACAGCTGATGGCCCTCCGTGGAGAACACGAACCGGGCGGCGATGTCAATGTGAGGAGAGAAGAGGAGGTAGAGGTACCTGGTGGGAGGGAGACAACAAGGAGTGATATCAAGTGTGATTTGAGTCGACTAAAAAACACAACAGGTTCAACAAGAGGAGATGGCCCGCGGAAGAGAAAACGAACCGGGCGGCAATGTCCATGTGAGGGGAGAAGAGGAGGTAGAGGTACCTGGTGGGAAACAAAAAGTGATACGAGATCAAATTCATTCGGATTTTGCATTCGGTAGTGAATGTCATACAGAGCATAGTGAATGTCATACAGAGCCATTATGCTGTGCTGAAGTGTTTCAAAGGGCAGGAAAAATACTCCATGTGATCGTCAAGACTCTAAGAAAGCACTTGATCTCGCAGTAGTATCTCAAAAGACAGCAACGATCACTACGGCACTTGAGCTTTGCAACATGCCTTAAAACAGTGACAGAAAGTCAGGCACTCTTCACAGCAGCGCGCTTACTTAAGTGTCTCAGAGAGCAGGAATGACTCCATGTGGTCGTCAAACCCTCTTCGAAAACACTCAAGGTAATGTAAGCAACAGTAGCACTTACTTAAGTGTTTCTGAGAGCAGAAATGACTCCATGTGGTCGTCAAGGCGATGTGTCTGCACGCTGCCAACGCTTGCAAACCCACACTCTGAGATACACATGGAATGGAATGAGGTAGATAAATCTTGAAAAGCCTCAAACCTCACTGACACCACACTCTGAAGTGCACATGGAACAAGGGAACAAGGGAGACGACTGTTTGAGACTCATCAGAAGCCGCTTCCTGACCCTTCTAGAAAAGGATCTGCACATCGCTAACACTTGCAAATCCACATTCTGAGACACAGTTTAAATATGGAACAAGGGAGACGACTTCTGAGGCACTAGGCGCATCAATAGGCGCTTCTGAAGTCTACTGAAACGAACATCTGCATGACGCCAACGCTTGCAAACCCACACTCTGTATGTACTTATATCAAGAGAGAATCACCTGTGCGTGTTACTGTATTGAGGGCTGCAGCAATGTCCCTCCCGATTTCCAGGTACGTGTGATTGCCCGTGGCCTGGACGGGGGCGATCAGGAAATGGTTGAGGAATGGGAGGGTTAAAGTGCATTCTCGGGCACCTCTGGTGGAAGAAAGAGCCCCTTTCTAGCAATCTGTACGGTTCTGCTCTTCTCGCAAAATATTCGGTATTGTAGGGTGGAAATCCGCCCCCATCCCAACCTGAAAGAAGTGGAAGCAGCGACTTTTGAGTCGACTCAAAAGTCACAAGGTGGAAATCCCTCCCCATCCCAAGTATTCTGTACCTGAAAGAGGAAGTATGCACTCTCAGCCATCTCGGGCAGCAGCGGGTATCCCCTTTCCATGTGCATCCAATACCCCCTGCCTCGCTCCTCTCAAATAAGAGGCATGAATCTTCCCGAAGCTTTCCATACCTTGAAGAGGAAATATGCACTCTCGGCCATCTCAGGCCGCAATGGGTATCCCCTTTCCCTGTGCACACATAACGAAAGGCATGATGACACGGGTAGGTTCAGGGTCCCAGCCACAGTTTGCTTGTGACACTTCAAGGCGCGTAGCTCAAAGGCTTGAGAGTTACACAAGAGTAAAGAAGAGTAAATTACTGCGGCAAGGGTTCAATTTACAGCTCGAATGTAGCTGCTGGGCGCCTTAATGGCCACTGCAGCACATACCTTTGGCCATGCACCGTTACACATACAACTTTGCGTGCACACTTGAATTCGCACACTATGATATATACCTTCATATGTACACCTAAATGTGCACACTGTTACGTGTACACATCCATACATACACTGGATGAACAGCTGAAGCAGTCACGCTGAATAGCTCGGGCAGGAAGGAAAACCTTTTCCACACTGCCCAGAGGCCACTGTGGATGACTCGGGCATCCGCGGTCTGCCCGGCGAGAACCTGGTGGCGGTGGGAGGCGAATGGAGGGGAAAGTCAACACTGGCAGGTTAGAGGTGGCAGTGACCATTGAGTCGACTCTAAATTATGCAACACGCCCCTACAAGCAGTTGTGCTTTCTCCCTCCTGTCAGCAAACCTGAGTGCCTTATCACCGCCGCCCACCTGGGAGATGGCACTATTGTCACTCTCTCTCTCCTCAGGGGCCCATCTGAGACATAAGGGCGTCAAATCGCCAAACACTTCAAACACTTGAAGCCTGCTGCGGGGACGAGGCCTAGTGCCATCCTGCAGATGGTCGCTGGCTATCCATGCACACGTCCGTGTGGTATGGACCGGATGTAGCAAGAAATGTATTTTGAGGCGCCTCAAAATACACCTCGCTGGCTATCCATGCACACGTCCGTGTGGTACTCATGGACCGGATGTAGCAAGAAATGCCTCAAATGGCCCTCACTGCCTGCTTGCATGGCTCTCTCTCACTTCACAGCAGGAAACATACCTGCATGGCAGGCCAAAACGCCTGCAAGCATGAGGCATAGTGCCGGCCCAAATGCACGTTGTCTTTGCTCACGCCCAGACAGACGGATGTACCAGTAGATGCTTCAGATTGAGTTTTCCTTCACTGCACACCTGCTTGTAGCCAAACTGCATGCCTACCTGCATGGCGGGCCAAAAAGCCTGGCGGGAAGAGGCATAGTGCCGCCCCAGATGCCCGTTGTCTATGCTGACGTCTAGCAGCCAGCGCACCATACCCCCCTACAAGCACATGTATTTCCTCACCCGCTTGTCTCATTACTTCCTACCTGCATGGCGGGCCAGAACGCCTGCAGGGACGAGGCATAGTGCCGCCCCAGATGCCCGTTGTCTATGCTGACGTCTAGCAGCCAGCGAGCCATGGACTCCCCCCGCACCGCCATGTACCGCATCGCACCGGAATAGACCTGCACGCAGCAGAGAGGCGCATTAAGTGCATACAGTGTAGCTTTGAAAGGGATGTAAAAGACTGCGAATGAGACAAGATGCCGTTGGGATGCTTGGAAAACATGATTGGAAAACATGATTGGAATGCAGGCACTCTTGCTAAGTCAACTCAGAAACAAGGTCACAAAGACATGCATAGGCACAGGGGCACACTGACTGACCTTGGAGAACATTCGACGAAGGTTCCCCTTTCCCAGCAGCAGATAGCCCTTGAGGAGGTACTGTGAGCGAGGAAGAAAGGGAGAAGGCACAACGTAAAAGACAAGAAGATAGCTCTTTCTGTTAGAGCTTTCTGTTAGAGCTTTCTGTTAGAGCTTTCTGTTAGAGCTTTCTGTTAGAGCTTTCTGTTAGAGCTCTATGTTACCTCCCATCCAAGCATCGTATTTGGGGGGCAAGGGACTACCTTGTACTCCTCGAGCATCATATTTGAGAGATAGCCTTGCGCTGACTCCCAGTTTCAAGGTGAGCTTTCATCTCAAAGACCAAGGTCAAGAAGACGTGTTTTGAGTCGACTCTGTTTTCTTTTTGTTCTCAAAAAACAGTCTCACAGACCAAGGTCAAGAAGACTCACGGTTTCTCACCTCAAAGAACGAATCAACGCCAGCACCTGCTGTGGATTCCCGCTGCAGCCACACTCAAAATTAAGGTAGGGGGTGAGTGAGAGGGGAGATTGGGTGGGGAAAGAGTGAGAGAGGAAGATTAGATAGCCTGACTTAAACCAAGTGCAAGGAGAGCGAAAAGAATTGGGTCCACAGAGGCAGCACGAGATGAGAGGGTAAGGGGAATCTGAGGGATCGGATGCGGGACGGAAGGGGCATGGGGAAGAAGGAAAAAGGGGTAATGGAAGGAGGGAAAAAAAGGAAGGGGGGAAGGAGGGTGGGAGGAGGACAAGCAGAGGGGTGGAGAGTAGGGAGACGGAGAGAGAGGGAGGGCACTGAGCTGAGCAGCAGGCCTGGCTGGTGCTCAACGCTCGTGGCACTCAGCACGCACCTGATGTGGCACTGAGCACGCACCTGATGTGGCACTGAGCACGCACCTGATGTGGCACTGAGCACGCACCTGATGTGGCACTGAGCACGCACCTGATGTGGCACTGAGCACGCACCTGATGTGGCACTGAGCACGCACCTGACGTGGCACTGAGCACGCACCTGATGTGGCACTGAGCACGCACCTGATGTGGCACTGAGCACGCACCTGATGTGCTGCTGATTCCGTTGCCCACGAGGTTCAGAGGCGACCTCCATCTGTACAGGGCCACCACTGCTCAGCTCATTCACCGTTCACCTACAATCCTGCTGACAGCAATGCTGGGGTGGGTGCTCATATCACTTCCCACTAGGTTCAGAGGCGACCTCCGTCTGTACAGGGCCACCACTGCCCACCCCTGCCCACCCCTGCTCATCACGGCTAACCTGCTAGCCTGCTCATGCTAGGGCTGGCGTGCTGCTGGGTTGCTAACGGCACTTCCCACCTGACGTGCTGCTGATTCCGTTGCCCACAGGGGTTCAGGGGCGACCTCCGTCGGTACAGAGCCACCACTTCTCAACGCTAACGGCACTTCCCACCTGACGTGCTGCTGATTCCATTCCCCACGGGGCTCAGGGGTGACCTCCGCCTGTAGAGAGCAACCACTGCCCATCCAACATTCACTTGCTAGCCTGCTGATGCCAACGCTCACTGGGTGCCAAGCTGCTAATACCGCTAATTCTCTATTGGGTTGTCACCCAACCCTTCTCCCTTCCCACCTGATGTGCTGCTGATTCCGTTGCCCACGAGGTTCAGGGGCGACCTCCGCCTGTAGAGAGCAACCACTGCTGCCTCTGCCTTCTCCTGCCGGGATAGAATAGAGTGGAGTGGAATGGAAGCAGTGAGAAGGAATCAAGTTAGTGCCAGGCTGTTGATTCCATTGCCCACGAGATTCAGTGGCGACCTCCGCCGGTAGAGAGCAACCGCTGATGCCTCTGCCTTCTCCTGCCGGGATGGAATGGAGTGGAAGCAAACGAGGAAGAGGCAAGTGAGTGCTTGGCTGTTGATTCCGTTGCCCACGAGATTCAGAAGCGACCCTATTCTCTGTAGAGCAACCACTGCTGCCTCTGCCTTCTCCTGCCGGGATGGAATGGAATGGAATGGAACGGAAGCAAACCAGTAAGAGGCAAGTGAGCGTCCGGCTGTTGATTCCATTGCCCACGAGGTTCAGAGGCGACCTCCTTCAGTACAAGCGCCACCACTGCTGCCTCTGCCTTCTCCTGCCGGAATGGAACAGAAGAAAGTGAGCAATTCGCAAGTGCATATTGGGATCAGCGTTGCTCCTTCTGATTGCTGCGGGCGCGCATTTTCTCTCTCTCTCTTCTCAAGAAATAATTGCAACAACGAGGAAGCTGCAAGCAAGTGAGTGCCGGGATCAGTGTTGCTCCGGCTGACTCGACTCGCACGCGAACGCTGTCCTCTCCTGGTGGGATGGAATGGAAGCTAATCCAACCGAATCCAAGTTGAGCACACAGCTGGCTTTCCCCGTGCGGGCTTTCCCCACGCGGGCTACGGGCTTCACCCTGAGCGGGTTTTCCCAGTGCGTGTTTCCCCAGTGCGGGCTTCTCCAGTGCGTGCTTCCCCAGTGCGTGCTTCCCCAGTGCGTGCTTCCCCAGTGCGTGCTTCCCCAGTGCGTGCTTCCAAGTAGTTATAGCGATTGAGTTGACATGTCTCAACTCAAAACATCTGCCATCACTCTCCCTCACCTGGAAGATGGGGATGCATGAGAGGTTCAATTCGAGAGTGCACTGAACTCCAGCTGCAGAGTGCTGGCCGTTATAAGAGCGGCGAGATATGGATTGCTATTCGCCGGCAGTGTGTGACTGGGAGAGCTCTCATACCCTTCACTCGGTCTGATTCCACGTCTTGCCTATAGCGCCCTCACCTGGAAGATGGGAATGCCTGACAGGTTCGACAGCGCAATGAACTCCAGCAGCAGCGTGCCGGCACCAGCAGTGCACGTGTGGCTTGTGGCCCTGCTTGGCCCATGGGCGAGTAGCATTCCTTAAGAAGCACGGCCCACGTACCCCTCACGTTCTCACCCGGAAGATGGGGATTCCTGAGAGGTTTGACAGCGCACTGAACTCCACTAGCAGAGTGCTGGCACCAGCAGTGTGTGCCTGGGGGACCTCTCATACCCTTCACTCGGTCTGATTCCACGTCTCGCTTATAGATTCCTCACCTGGAAGATGGGAATGCCTGAGAGGTTTGAGAGTGCACTGAACTCCAGCAGCAGAGTGCCGGCGCCAGCAGTGCACGTGTCTTGGAGACCGGTCGACAGGTGCATGGGACAGACAGACCTTTCATACGCGTCACTCAATCCCATTCCACTCCTTGTGGTGTCCTTACCTGGAACATGGGAATCCCCGAGAGGTTCGAGAGTGCACTGAACTCCAGCAGCAGAGTACCGGCACCAGCAGTGCACGTGAGTGGGAAACCCTCAATGTGCGTGTGTGGGAGAGCTCTCATACCCTTCACTCGGTCTGAGTCCACTTCTTGTCTATGATTTCCTCACCTGGAAGATGGGGATGCCTGAGAGGTTCGAGAGCACACTGAACTCCAGCAGCAGAGTGCCGGCTCCAGCATTGCATGTGTGGGTCACGTCGTCTGGCTTGGGCCGGCGCCAGCAGTGCCCGCAACGCAACAAGGAGAGATCGCCCAACACATGGGTGTGTGACCCTGCAGGCCCCTCAGTGACAGAACACTTACCCCTCAGTGACAGAACACTTACCCCTCAGTGACAGAACACTTACCCCTCAGTGACAGAACACTTACCCCTCAGTTCCTCACCTGGAAGATGGGGATGCCAGAAAGATTGGACAATGCGCTGAACTCCAGCAGCAGGGTGCCGGCGCCAGCAGTGCACGTGTGGGTGACGTCGTCTGGAAGAACTCCCCTCCGGAGATTCACCCATGCATAGGGGATGGGTGTGCCTGAAGAGAAGGCTGGAAGCAGCTTGGTTGATAGAGGGTGGGACGAGAGGAAAGGGAAGGGCAGTGCACGTGTGTGTGACGTTGTCTGGAAGAACTCCCCTCCGGGGATTCACCCATGCGTAGGGGATGGGCGTGCCTGATGAGAAGGCGGGGAGCAGCCTGGGAAGGATGGCGGGGAAGGGGGGAAGAGAAAAATGGAGGGCAGTGCAGGTGTGTGTGACGTCGTCTGGCAGAACTCCCCTCCGCAGGTTCACCCATGCATAGGGGATGGGCGTGCCTGATGAGAAAGCAGGGAGCAGCTTGGAACATGCATACATGGTGGGATGGGGTAAGAGGAAGGGAAAGGGCAGTGCACGTGTGTGACACCGCTCCGCAGGTTCACCCACACACAGGGGATGGGCGTGCCTGATGAAAAGGCGGGGAGCAGCCTGGGAAAGCGAGGGGAGTCAAGGGGGGTGGGTGGCAGAGGAAGGGGAGGGGCAGTCAACGTGTGGGTGATGCCGTCTGGAAGCACTCTCCTCCGCATTTTCACCCATGCGTAGGGTATGGGCTTTCCTGAAGAAAAAGCGGGTAGCAGCCTGGTACATGCATACATGGGGTTGGGGGGTGGGGAAGGGGAGGGGCAATGCACGTGTTGTTAGAATTGTATGTTCTAGCATGCCAACTCTTGTGACTGTACACCAGTTGTGGTGTACAGTGAGTTGGGACTACACCCAACTTTGGGTGTAGTCATGCATTGTGGGGTGCCAATCCAACCCAATTGTGGTGGAGCCCCCAAATGCAACCCACTTTGTGAAAATACTTGAGGAAGAAGGAATACTTTCATTAGGAGAGATTGGGGTATACATAGTAGTGCTAAAGGGGGAGGGGGGGGGTTGGTTGGAACCAAGCCACCATTATTGGCCCCCACCAATAAGTTGGGTTGAGGGATTATTGGGGGGACCAATAATGTTGACCAAGTGGTTCAACATTATTGGGGGGACCAATAATTTCCAACCCAACCTTGGGGGCCAAGGTTTGAGTTCCAGTCCCCAACTAGGGTTAGCCCTAGTTCTACACCCAAACTAAGTTTGGGTGGCTATCTCTCTATCCTACGCTTATAGGATTGATGTAGGTTACAATGAGGATGGCAATCTGACACACTTGGCCTCAGGTTGCCTCACTTCCCAAAAGTGAGGCCAACCCAACCCAAGTGGGCCTGAGGTTGCCTCACTTCCCACAAGGTGTGGTCAACCCAACTCACTTGACCTTAGGTTGCCTCACTTCCCAAAGTGAGGCCAACCCAACCTATGGTCAACCCAACCTTTCTCCTCCAAGCTTCTCATCCAACCTATGCATGCTTGTTCCTCCTCTAACGAAACTAATGATTCACTTTACAATCTTCACACGTGTGTGTGTGACGTCGTCTGGCAGAACTCCCCCCAAGAGATTCACCCACGCATACGGAATGGGTGTGCCTGACGAAAAGGTGGGAGAAGTCTGGAGGGAGGGGAGGGGGAGGAGGATGGATGGATGGATGGGTGATCTCGTCTGACAGCACTTCCCTTTGCAGGTTCACCCATGCGTAGGAATCCAGAATCTCACCTGAACCCCACCTGAACCCCACCTGAAAAGTTTAGAATCCCACCTGAGACTCACCTGAAGCCCAGATCAATAGCCAGCTCCAGCAGGCGGCCCTTGTACCCAGGTGCCAGGTGCACGCCAGCCAATGAGGGATGGACAGGTGGCAGCGTGGGATCCTGGCTTTGCAGGATAAGCATGTGAGCAGAGAGGAGGCTTCCCAGTGCCCTTATGTTGGCCTCGAACACGTTGCTGTGGGGGCGAGAAAGTAACAGAGAGACAGATTGAGAGAGCACAGGAGAGAAAGAATCGAGAACCAGGTGAGAGGGTTTTGAGACGCCTTTTATATTTATGAGGGTTTTGAGACAGGAGGCTTCCCAGCGCCCTTATGTGGCCTCAAACACGTTGCTGCGAGGGAGGGAGAGTGAACGAGAGGGAGCGAGGAGAGGAGAGAAAGAGTAAGGGCAGGGGTGAGAGAGCTTTAAGAAACTCAACACTCATGAGGGCAGGGCTCCCAGTGCCTTTATGTTGGACTCAAACACATTGCTGCACGGGAGGGGGCGGGAAAGAGACAAAGAAAGAGCAAAGGAGAAAAGTGTTATCTAAGACGTCTCAAGACTTATGTGGGTGGACAGAAGAGTGAAGCATGGTGTGAGTGAGGGAGGTGGGGAGAGAGTCATGTCAGCAAGCAATGTTAGGGTGGCAGTAAAGACAGCGGATACAGAACCATAAATCGTGAGCAGAATGTGAGAGAAAACGATTGGGATGCTTTAAGAGGGGTTAAAGGGGAGGGGAGGGGTCAGCAACGGAGGAAAACAGAGGACAGCGAGAGGAGGGAGAGGGATGGGCGAGTATGGAACACACACGCGTATATCCAGATCGAAGGAGAGATGCTGAGAGAGGTACTCCACGCCCCAGTTGAACTCTGATACGTTGCCCAAGAGCTGGGGGAGAGGGAGGCAGACATGGGCAGATGGAGGCAGGCGAGAAGAGTCAACTATCAGAAGAGGCAGGCTGGAAGGTGCTGAATCGCCTATCAGCAGGAGAGATGGTAAGAAAGGTACTCCACGCCCCAGTTGAACTCTGATACGTTGCCGAGAAGCTGCAAGGGGGAAGGTGGGGGGATGGGCGAAAAAATACCATGCATTGATCCTGTGCTCTCACCACCTCACTAGCAGGCTCTGCATGACTTTTGAGTCGACTGACTTTTGAGTCGACTCAAAAGGGGGGAGGTGGGGGGATGGGCGGAACAATCGGATGCATTGATCGTGTGCTCTCACCGCCTCACCAGCAGGCTCTCCATGAGCGTCAGAGCCATGCCACCATTACCATTCTTTATCTGAAACAAACCAATCTTTTTGCTAAAAGCTGCTGCCACGTAAAGCCATGGCTCCTGTTTGGTTGGGGCGCCCATGCCACCATAGCCATAGGGACTGGATCCGGGGCACATGAAATAAGGGTTGTTTTGAGACCTCTCAAAACAACACTTATTTCACCTCACCAGCAGGCTCTCCATGAGCGTCAGAGCCATGCCGCCGTTACCATAGGGACTGGATCGAGCGCTCGCCAGCTGCTCGTCAGTGATCTAGTCAATATGGCAATGGTGCTCTCACCACCTCACCAGCAGGCTCTCCATGAGCATCAGAGCCATGCCACCATTGCCATAGGGACTGGATCCGGAGCAGCTGGCGAGCACTGGAGCAAGCGAGCAAGTGAGCGACACGTTTGACCCCTACCTAGTACCTACTAGCCAACCACCACTCTATTCCTCACCAGCAGCGTGCCTTGGCTCTCCATGCGCACCATAGCCATGCCACCACAGGGGTTGGATCCAGAGCAGCGGAGCAAGCGAGAAAGTGTGCTACCACCAACTGCAGACACACAGAGACCCGCTCTACCTACGACCAACCCTCACCAGCAGCGTGCCTAGGCTCTCCATGAGCGTCATGGCCATGCCACCGTAGAGATTGGATCGAGAAACCAAGCAAGCGAGGAACTGAGCAAGTGAGCAAGTAAACCAACAAATGCAGACACATTCAGACAGGGACCCATAATTGCCTCACCAGCAGCGTGCCTAGACTCTCCATGAGCGTCATAGCCATGCCACCATAAGGATTGGACCCAGAGCAGCTGGCAATCAGGAAACAAGGGAAACATGGGGAAGCAATGGGGGCAAGGGATGAGTGAGGGGAGTGAGGTAATAGAGGACGAAAAGAGCCAGCTTGAAAGTTTGTAAGAAATGCTCCTGCACCACACGACCAGACTGACTTACGGAACAAGCTAATGCGACCAAGCTACAAAGGAGGCTGGCGGTCATGGCAGAAAAATGTTGACGGTGAGAGCGAGAGATAGAGAGACATGCAGCAGATGCAAGGCGAAACACCTGAGAGGTTTAAGCTCGTCTTGTGGAAAGGCGAATCGCTTGTAACCGTCATATGCATGATAGAACATCTCCTCTACTTGATGCCTGCAAGGAGTTTGAAGGAACGAATTTCCAGTCAGGAGACATGGCGCATGCTCATTTTTGAAAATTCCTGGAACAAGGATATCAAAGGAGGACAGCCAGGCAATGCTTTGGGAGATGAAGGCACAGGCTCGTGGGATCACTGAATTGGTGCGAGTAACATGTTGCTCAGAGGCACACACTCGCATCTGCACAAGCTCGGATAAACCATGATCGAGAATTTCAAGCCATCGTGGTGTGAGAGCGTCATTGACTGACTGACTGACTGACTGACTGACTGACTGACTGACTGACTGACTGACCTCATGGCAGTCACATTCACTTCACGCACACCGCAAGCTTGTGATTCAAACGAGCTCGACTCGCCCTCCCATGTCACATCCTCCGATTGTGTCACACTCGTTTCCGGCTCAGTCCCTTCAGCTTCTGATTCCGACTTGGCCGCTCTGCTTTGCGTTTCACCCGTTTGAGCATCGCTGGTATCAGCTAAAGGAGGAACAAGACCGTCGGCAGCAGCAGCAGCGTCAGTGGGGACAGCAGAGTCAGAAGCAGCAGCTACGTCCTCCGCAGAAATATCGCTCTTGCCCTCTAGTGCAATTTCCGAACATTGTTCCTCGCATGCTTCCTTGCTCGCGCAAGCACCAAGCATTCCGCGCTCTTGCCACGTGGACCCTGTTGATTGGTGGTCCAGCAGCAGGGCTGCAATCAGCAGCAGGAGAGGAGCGAATCTTCGTGGAAGCGACATTGAGATGAGCACGGGGTGACTGTAAAGAATGTGTTCGAGATCCGACAACGATCAACGTGGCTGCGCGTCGCTCCGAACGTAGTGGCACTATGTCAGCTCTTCACCTCGAAAAAATCTAGCAAAATGTCAATGAAACGGCCGAACTGACAACATCCATGAATCCTTGAATACAAGAAATTAACGATTTACTTATTCTGTCACCATTCTGCGCCTGAACAAAAATCATCTAACGCTGGGCAGGTCAACATCTTACATCACTTAACATTGGACATTGAGCACCATTGAAGTCGATGCGACAGGACACTAACACTAACGGCTCGCTAACCGGATCGCCTTCCTGATCAGTGATTAGTTCCCTATGTTCGCCACTCCCAAAGTGAGAGGAGTCCAGGTCCCAGGAATGAACTGACAACATCAAGGCAATTCTTATAAAGGCTGGTTGATGCATGAGTTGGCTGATCAGGGGTGAACGAAAAGAGTCAGATCGTATACGAAACGCGCGAAACCTGCTTGGATGTTACAGACATCACAACTTCTTGGCAGTCAGATGCTTCATTTCTTATGAAGATGATCGAGCGAATGGCCAGCATTGCGATCCATGGAATGTATTGCTGTACTAAATCTTCGATATCCGATAAATGCATGCCAATGGAAAATTATCAGTCCAAATTGAGTGATTTGATGAATATGCTCATTCAAAAACGAAAAATACTGAATTGGCCAGTGACGGTCATATGCAATTATGTATTATGAGGTGAAAGTCATGCGATTTCTCTGCCTACGGCTAATCAATCAATCTCAATCATTCCTGTAAATTATGTACACCGCACAGCGTCAGGTGATGGCTGCTCCCCCCAGCACGGGACAAGCCCCGAGGCACCCTCGTTACAAGAACGAAAACCGCTGGCAGAAACAGGAACGACGGAGGCCGAGCACCCCTAGTCTATTAATAACCATCATCAGCGAGAGCTGAAGCATCTAAATGGCGTCGTGTCGTGATGCAACGGATCTGAAGCTGCGACTGAAGGCTGTGAACGCGAGCAGATCAGAGCGAGCAGAATACGTGACGGAGACAACGGAAGAGCCACTCTAAAGGCGGAACGAGGCTCGGATACGGCGAACCAATCAAAGGGTGCGAATGAGGCGAGCGGCTTCGTAGCAGTGAGCGGTGGCGAGGGTGAGAGTCGCGGCACGCGGAGGTCGCTCGTGCGCCGATCGGATACCGTCAATGTCCTTCTCGAGTTCGGCTAAGCACCGCTCGACCTGCATCTCCTTCTCGCACCACCTCTGTCCTCCTTGCACACCCTGAAGATAAAACAAGAAACAGAAACCAGCACGAGAATCTGTCAGAAAAAGCCGTCTTTGCGGGTACACACGATCAAACTAATTCGCTGTCACAATCTCGAAGCACCGCCTTCGCGATTCTCGTCTTCACGAAAAACGGCGACAAAGGCTCCAATCACAGAAAGCATCAGGCTATGTACTACTTACATGAACGGGGTGTCCGAGAAGCGCGTTGAGGCCAAGGTGAACACGCTCGACCACCGTCGCACCCGCTGCTGCGAGAGAGTCGCCCGACACCAAAGCGTCGCTGGCTTGCTCGTTTCGACCGTTTGCCTGAACGTGCTGCAGCATGCGACCGTACGACTGAAGAAACTGCGACATCGCCTGGTTCGACGGGAAGACCGGGGTCGGCGGAAGAGATTCAGTCGGATAACCCGAGTGGTAGTCTGAGGAGTAAGTCGGCGCCGGCATCGCGATCGCCATGGCGTTAGTGGCTACAGATCGGGACGACGGGGAAGCGTCGGCCCTAGGAGTAAGGCGAAAGGAGGTGGGCTGTGCAGGTGAGATGGTGTTGCATGCGTCATTGAGACGAAATTTAGAAAGAGCTGCGCTCGATGGAACACAGGTGCGAGCGAGAGTCGTTGAAAGGGCGGCCATGTCGCAAATTTTATGTGTGGAACTGTGGAGCTAGAGCGAATAATAGTAGCACTGAGAGGTAAATAATGAAAGCCAAAAGTTACTAGGAAAAGGTTTGAGCTTTTGATAATAATAGTGGTAGGAATTGAGGTATGTATTTGTACATCTCCGTGCAAGAACTCGTGCAGCGTTCGACCAAGGAGGTGCAAACATGGAGAGAACAGCGAAACAGGGGAGTGCCGAGATCCATGATTATTACGGTTCTGTACGGTTTGAAACGATTTCGTGGATTGTGGTAAAACAGCTCCTGCGTGATCAGGCCATTGCGAAACTGGTTACGAAGCTCCGAAAAGAGAACCACCACATGCGGTTCACGAAACAAAAACCACCGCCACGCGGATTTTCGCTGGTGATGTGTCACTCACTTGCGCGAACGCGACATTCCCGCAGTGACGTGTTTTGGGGAAGCTACCTGCGAGGGTGCCGATTTGATTGGTGCGGCGCGTGATCGTTCTCTGGTTGTTGAGTGGGGGGAGGTTGCGTGCCATTGGCGAGTTGATCGAGTCAGACGAGTAGCCAACAGGTTTCCAAAGAAAGAGCACTGATGAGGTGGATGGGCTTCTGACCACCACAAAAAGGATACATTCCAGCGGTGAAGCGTCAGCGAATTGGCGCGGAAGCGGCCACCGTCTATCCAGTAGAACTCGATAAAATTCCAGGGCATGTGGTTGAGCTGTGCTGTGTGCTGGCGAAAGTGAAGCATTGTTCTGCCAGGCAGGTGCCCCATTTGCTGAGCACTGCGGCGATTTTACAGAAGTGGCTGTTGGTTGGCTTGCCTAGCAAGCCAACTTCATCGATTAGCTGCTCAAAATCCCTTGTGGGCAAAGATACAGCCTCCGATTCCACCCACCAGTTTCTCGTTTACAGTTCCCGCAAGCACGCAGGAAGCTACCTCATCCCTGACCTGCGACTCGAACTTTCTCGTTGGTATCGCGTTTGTACTCCGCATAATCCGTTGTTCCCTTTGCCATTGCTTCAGTGATACTGTCCCCTTACCATTAGACGTTTGATGTACATGGTAGTCGTGCTCTAAATGTCATCCAAACTATAATACATATTGGCAAACTACTAATGTATGGTGAAGCCTTCACAAAAATCACCATACTAACCTGACACTACTTGAAACTGAGTTTTTTCTGAATTGTAAGAACTTACTATCTCGCCTCACCTGCTCCCTCAACTATATAGCAACATGTAACCTAATATGAAAACACACATCTTACTCGAATGACACAAACCATCCGTGCACCATCCGTTACTTGCATGTAGCACAGCATCACTGGCGCTACTTTGGCTGGGCTGGGAGTGAGATGCAGCCGAATAGAGCATCGTAGCACAATGTCACTGCTGGTCATGCACTATGCCCATGAGCGATGCCCATGTGCAATGTACAGGCAACAATGCTGCATCTGTGACGTCCACGACAATTATAACTGTGACAGACAGGTGAGTGAGGCATGTGCGCAGCACTTATGAGGAATGGTGACAAAAATGGTGACGATACCATACCAGAAACAGTGCGGCATCATTCATCGGCGAGATGATTTCAGCCTGTTCTGTGACCAAGTGAACTTGCTTGTCACATTCTTGCTTCCTTCCACCACTGCTGCTACCGGAACGTGTGATGGAACGCAGGGGGGAAACGGGGTGAGCAAAGAGGAAATGAGGAGTGTGAGGTGGGAAGAGGGGGCAAGGAGCAGCAAGGGGATGGGGAGAGGAGGAAGGGGGGGAGGAGGGGGGGGCGGGGGGGGGGGCAGAGGAAGGGAGAAGGAATAGAACAGAGCGGAACCACATCTCGCCAGCGTGATTGGAAGATGCGGCGGAAAGCAAGGAGGGTGGAGGCGGGGAAACCCTGAAAGATGCTGCTGAAAGGGGGGAGGGGGGAAGAAGGGGGGGAAACTCTGAAAGATGCTGCTGAAAGGACGGAAGGAGGGGGAAGGGGGGAAGAAGGGGGGAAGAAAAGAGGGAGGGGGGAAGAAGGGGGGAAGAAAAGAGGGAGGGGGGAAGAAGGGGGGAAGAAAAGAGGGAGGGGGGAAGAAGGGGGGACAACTCTGAAAGATGCTGCTGAAAGGACGGAAGGAGAGGGAAGGGGGGGAAACCATGAACGTTGCTGTTGAAAGGATGGAGGGAGGGGGAAATGGGCGGGAACCCTGAACAACGCTGCTGAAACGAGGGAAGGAGGGGGAAGGGAGGGGAACCCTGAAAGGTGCTACTATAGGGGGAAAGGGGGGAAACCCTGAAAGATGGCGTAAAAGGGAGGGAGGGAGGGAAGCAAGGATGCAGGGAGGGGAGACCCGGAAAGATGCTGCTGAAAGCTCTTCCCAGTAGATGTGTTATGGGAGAGTGTGGGAGAAGGAACGGAGGGAAGGGGGAGCGGGAAAGGGGTGGGCAGGGAGAAACGCGCCTGATAGCCTTCGCCTTCAGCAGCAACTCTCTTTCACCTTCGCGCCTGTTGACACTTCGCCTTCGCGCATGTTTCGCCTGATAACTAGCGCGAGTAACCAGCGGGAGTTACCACCGCAAGTTACCAGCGGGAGTAACCAGCGACAGCGGGCCTTAGGCTTATTGGAAAACCGGTGGGAAGTGTTTGGACTCTCTGAGACGGTAAGGAATAGTTTTAAAGATCGACTCGGAAATTCTGTAGGCGCGGAACACGCACGACCGGATCCAGGTCTGTGGCTCCACGCCTCTATGCTGGATTATACAATCTGCATTCGCGACAGTACTACTACTGTCCGCCATGCTACTCCAGTCACGGCAGAAACGACGCGCGTCATAAACTGCGTCTACCGCCTCGACCGTAACTGTTCGTCTACTCCGATCTCGGCGACAGTACTACCACCGGTCGTCAATGCTACTCCGATCTGAAAAACAGCAGCTGCTACTCGCAAGGATGCTGTGATGGGGTGCTAACAATGTCAAATGGGATAAATTACGAAACTCTACGATCTGAGACGAAATTTGTAACTGAAGTTTCCTAACCAGCGCGAGACAACACTAAGTATGAGGAGTGATGCTAGCTACGAAACCTATCTACGGAAACCTCTTCCAATACCTGCAGGAAATTATGAAGCATATTTTTTGCGGAGAGGGCAATGGTTGTGTTGAAAAGCAGCGTGCCATTTCCTCATTCGTCGCCAGTGGCTACCATTTCCTTATCCATAACGACATGTGACGACATCCGGCGACTTTTGGCGACTTTTGGACGACAACACTCAATTTGTTTCGAAACTGTCCCTCCAACTAACCCCTTTGATTGGCTGCAACGATTTTCCCTCTCGTCTGCCCACGTATTATTTACTAAACTCGCCCACCTTTCGCACATATGCCGTCCCACCCATCATGCAAAACTTTATGTTCCTACTAAACATAGTGCCACGTCAACGATCTCCTAGAAAATGATCGCCACCTGCACATGTTTCGAACTTTCCCGAACCACTCCTGGCACATGGCAACTACAGAGTCAATCAGAAACAAAATAACCTCTGCACAAATGATTTCATCTGTATAGTTTGACATCGAAGCAGCTACAATGGGAGATGTCAGCCTGAAAGTTTCCCCGCGTTGAACTAGCGGTCTGACTCAGTCAACCCAATCTACTGTCTGACTACCTGCCGTCACACTTCGCGCACAGTTTTCCAATTCTGGCCGCCATACATCGGCTGGCGAAATCTGAACCATCCACTGCTTACGGCGCTACCTACACCCTTGATTTCCAATCCCCACCATATCCAGACTCCTACCAAGGGATTCCCGAAGGCGGCACCCCCGCTTCTGGTCCCCTCGGCACCACCAACGAACTGAACTCACCTTCATGACCTACTCCCATCCCATCAGTTCATTCAGCAGCTTCTGAATGGTAAGTTCCTTCACACCCACTTCGACGATGCTCAGAAGGTAAGCATTTGCTTCAACTAACTTCACGAGGTAAGCACTCGAGGGGATGCTTCTTTCTGCTTCCTCAACGACAACCCGAAGTCAGCCAACGGCATCCAGCATTACATCGTCGTAAGTGTCGCCGATTCGCAGCGTCGCAAGCGTCGCAGCGTCGCAGAGTCGCGTTGTGGGTGGGGTGGTTGGGCAAGGGTGACTTTCGACAACCTTCGACGACCTTCGACGACCTTCTACGATGTTCGACGACCTTCGGTAACGTTGCAAGGTTTTTTTTTTTTCTGCATTCGCTTCATTTGATTTCTCGCGCATTCGTTCCTTGCCATTTCTTGTGCTTTTAACCCTGCTCGATTTTGCAGGTCCGCGGACGTCGAAGAGACTCGTTAGGCTCGTACAGTGGAGCGCGAACGGATCGTTAGAACACTGAACCGCGACAGCACAGTAGGCTCGAAACGGTGCGCGACGACGGCTCCGTAGGCTCGAAACGGTGCGCGACGACGGCTCGACAGACTCGTTAGTAAACCGCGGCTCTAAAGGCTCCTTACAGACGATATGGAGACTCAGCAAGGTGGTAAGGAGGAGGTAAAGGCAGTCTTGTTTTCTGCTTTGGCGTTTATTCGTTTTGTTCTCTACTCTTACTAACTTCTTCTGGTTTCTTCTTATTTTTTGTAGCAAGCAGAGCGGCGGAGCCAGGTTTTATATATTTCCTCCTTTTGGTTATTTCGAATCCAAACTTTCAGGACTGGAGCGAGCTCAACGGAGCTCACCCGTAAGTTTCGCTTGCTTTATAATATTCGCTTCGTTTTTTCCTCTATACTAACCATCGCCGCTTTCTCCAAGTTGCAGGTAAAGGAAGGCGCGGACGCGGCCATCACCTTTCCCCCTTTTCTCTCCTCTATTCCTCCTCTCTCCCTTTCAGGACTGGAGCTTGGATCTCAAGGGAGTCTGTAAGTAGTTTCCATTTCCTGATCTGCTTTTACTTGTTTCCCGTTCTCTTTGTAAGTTGTTTCATTTGCTTTATTTTTTTCGCTTTTATTCTCTCTACTAACCATCGCCGCTTCCTCCAAGCTGCAGGTAAAGCAAGGCGCCGACGCGGCCATCACCTTTCCCCCTTTTTTCTACTCTTTTCTTCCTCTGTCCCTTTCAGGACTGGAGCTTGGAGCTCAAGGGATTTTGTGAGTTTCCTTACCTGATCCGCTTTTACTTGTTTTCCGTTTTTTAATATAAGTTGTTTCGTTCGCTTTATTGTTTTCGTTTTTTTCCTCTATACTAACCATCGCCGTTTCCTCCAAGTTGCAGGTTCAGCAAGGCGCGGACGCGGCCATCACCTTTCCCCTTTTTTTCTCCTCTCTTCTTCCACCGCAGGTCTCGAGCTTGGAGCTCAAGGGATTCTGTAAGTTTCCATTTCCTGCTGTTTTCCGTTTTTCCTGTAAGTTGTTGCATTCGCTTTATTGTTCTTGCTTTTATTCTCTATACTAACCATCGCCGTTTCCTCCAAGATGCAGGTTCAGCAAGGCGCGGACGCGGACATCACCTTTCCCCCTTTCTTTTCGTGTCTTCTTCCTCTGTCCTTTTCAGGACTGGAGCTTGGAGCTCAAGGAAGTTTGTAAGTTTCGCTTTACTGCTCCGCGTTTACTTGAAATCCGCTTGTTTGCGTTCGCTTACTGTTTTCGCCTTTTTTTTATCCTAAACTAACTACTCTCGTTTCTCTAAGGTGCAGGCCAGCAAGGGAGGTGCGATGTCGAAGACGCCATCGCTGCGTCGCGGAGTCGCGGACGCTAACGCGTGTGTCGCGGAGTCGGGGACTCCATCGCTTCACGTCTTTACTCTCGTTTTCTTCTTCAAGTGTCCCGTGTCAGGTTGAGAGACAACGAGCACACAGGATCAGCTCTGACTCTGCTGCGAGCACTAGAGTAGACTCGATACAGACCCGTTACAGACAGCCTCGCGTAGAACAGACGGACGACACGGAACAGATTCGTTAGGCTCGAAAAGCCCGGCACGGTATGCCGCGGTTGGGTTGGTTACGATGGGATGGGTGGGTGGTTTGGATGGGGTGGGTGGGTGGTTTCGATGGGGTGGGTGGGTGAGCTGGTAATTTGCGTCAGGTGAGCTGCAGGTCATCTGACATCAGCGCGACTCGAGGATTCCCGCCTGGCATCTGACGGCCAGCGAGCTGAAGTGGTTTTCTGCCCGTGGCAGTACATTCATAATTCCCCCCAAAGATATTTTCATTCATTTCTTTCCTCCCCCTCTCCTGCCCCCACCCCACCCCCTCCCTCCAACAGGTGTCCTGAGCGAAAAACCCCCACCTCAACGCGGTGCTCAGGTGTAACGCTAGCGGCCAAGAGGGGTGAAGACTCGAAGTGAAGACTCGAGACAAGTTGCGCAGTAGCAGAAGATCGGCGTTTCGTACTAGCTGGTTGCAGTTTCTAGTTGATCTTTGCTTTCTTGTTCTTGTAAAGTTATATATAGAAGTTTTACATTCAGACTTCCCTCAGGGCACTAGTACTAGACTCTGAAATCCTTCACGAGCAATATCTTGCTACTGCTGTGCTCTGAAGATAACTCTAAAATCCTTCACGAGCAATGTCTTTCTAAAGCTACAATCTGTGATGATAAGGGCGTGTGTGATTTTATTTTTGGTATAAGTTTGCGTTTTAAGATCGAATGTAGCATTTGAACATGAGGTGAACAAAATTCGACTTTCGTTGATGGCAAAGTTCGATCCGCGCGTCTCGCAAACGGTTGAAGCACAACCACACACCCAAGTTCGATTTTGCAAGCTCGACCTTATAGGGGGTGAGCCGAGCCGCCCGTAGGTTATTTAGGTTACCTGGTTTCGTCTATCTCTGCGAGACGATCTGTTTACCTGGTTTCAGTGGTGCGTTCATTGGTGCACGAAGAAATCACGAAACTCATCAACTTCTCTTGCGTGCCCAAAATAACACATGTTCGGCTCATCGTGCACTCTCACGTTCGTGCTTAGATTCGAGCCTTGTTCACTTTTTGCTGGTCGCATTTGTGTGTTTCCGATTCAAAGTGCATTTCGCCAACCGTGTCGGCGACATTGGCGAACGCAGTAACCATCTAAAGTTCAACCTAAATTACGAACCTAAAACAATTTCACACACGCCCTAAGTCTGAAATCCTTCACGAGCAAGAGCTCTTCAACCCCCGACTAGCGGAAGTATCTCTCGTGGGCGTTACGATCCATACTACAAAGGTTTCTGTCGAAGCCCAAATCATAGGAGCATGAGGCTGACGAGTTAATAAGTGAGCGATCGCCACGCTTTGAGTATTTGGAGATAGGTTCTTAGCGCTTTCTGCGGCACGTTTCAGCAAAAGCAACGGCTGGGATCGCGTGGGGAGTCGTTTACTTTTCTCACCTTACGACGTTGCTCAAAGCTTTTGGTATCTTGTTGTCCCGAATCGAAGCTGTGTATTGTCTTATGAATTTAACGTTCGTTCGGCATAGTTCATGGTCAATGTCTCTTTTAATTGCTCGTGGCAAGAGGATAGGAGTCGACACGCTGACAGCACGCCCTCGCGTATGGACGCGTGGTGCGTCGTTTCCTCTCTCCTACGACGTCAGGGCTTAGCTGAAAGCTTTCTGAAACTTGTTATTCCGAATTGAATCTGTAATTTCTTTCGAGATATAGCGTGCGTTCAGCATGGCTCATGGTGAAGGTCTTTTCTAACGGTTCGCCATGTCAGGAGGAGAAGAATCAACGCGCAAATGGATCACGCGATGGTCAGGCAACAATACTGCATCTGTGACATGCCCATCTGTGACTTGCATCTGTGACTTGCATCTGTGACATGCGCATCTGTGACATGCGTGACAATTGTTCTTCTAGTAACTGTGACAGGTGAAGGTGTGTGCATGTCGTGAAGATGTGTGCATGTCGTGAAGGTGTGTGCATCTGTGACCAGTGCTGCGGTGAAGGTGTGTGCATGCCAATTGTTCTTATAACTGTGACAGACGGGTGAAGGTGTGTACATGGCGTATTGGAGTCCATGGCATGTTGGGACACCATTCACGGGCGGGGGGAGGGGTATATTTGCTAAATCATTCTGCAAACCGACAGAATGGAAGAGCTGAAATGCTGGCAGGCTAGCTGCGAGCTGCGTGGCTCGGACAGAATGGTTTGCAGAGGGACTCATGCACGAAGGGAAGGTGGTGATGTTTAATTCAACCCCCTTGTCAACCCCCTTTTCAGAAGCACCCTCTTCAACCCCAGCTACTCCACCTGTCTCACCACAGGGTTATCTGAACCTGGTTCACAGCTGATTGAAGTGCTGTATGACAAGAGACTGCATGCTGTTTAGGCTGGTGAGGATTCAGAGAGGTGAGGCAACTGTACCGGTATGCCTCTGTATGACAGGCAACTCCCCCTCGTCCACCCGTCTCACCATAGGGTTATCTGAACCTGGTTCACAGCTGATGGAAGTGCTGTATGACAGGAGATTGCATGGTGCTATTAAGGCCTTTGGCTGGTGCTATTAATGGTTTTATGGTGTATGCTTTCTAGAGAGGTGAAGTGGTGCAATGATAGGGTACATCTCCATTGCCCGGAAGCTGTCCATGCACCAGGATATCGACACTGGCTCGTGAGGAACTAATAATGGAACTTGTATTCATCAAAAGCCAGTATCAAGGTGAAATGTGCATAATCAGAACATGTGTAAGGCTGTGCAAGGCACACATCTTGGCCACAAAGTATATATGTACGAACTTCTTACCGCACATGAGCCTTATCACTAAAGGCCAACTACAGTATACATGGACACTACATGGACAGTGTACATGCCATCATGATTGTCTGTATTGTTAGCACCTCGTGTATGGGCTGCCATTGTGCTACGGTAGATTGCCAAGCTGCCTCCATGCTGCATCGACCAGCCAAGTGACCTTGCTGCTTGCACGGTCTTGCTTCCGGCAAGGTGCCACTACTACTACCAGCACTTGTGTTTGCGCAACAAGGAGGCAGTTAGGCGATATCTTACAGCGCAGTCCAAATGTGTCATGCTGCACGTATGAGGCCTATCTTCCTCCATGCTGCTTCAGAAAGAGCCTGTTCAGTGACTTCCTGACTTTGCTGCTTGCACCCTTGCTTGCACTGCTGCTGCTACCGGCACTGGCGCCTGTGCTGCTGCTGCTGCCGCTGCCAGTGCCACTTCTGTTACCCCCACTTCTGTTACCCCCACTTCTGTTACCCCTACTTCTGTTACCCCCATTCCTGCTCCTATCCACCAACTCTGTCCCATTGCTGCTCCCAACCTTCTCTCCAAACGGCTTCCCCGGCCATCCCTTTTTCGGCCACGGCAGCTTCTTACCAAGCTTCTTCCAAATACTATCCGAAAGCAGCGGGTCCGGCCCATATCCCCCGAACGGGTGTACAATCTTGTGGAAAAACACGTCGATCCACGCGTCAGGAACCCCCGGAAGGCACCATTTTACACAGTCCATTTCGCTTGCATCCGGAGGAGGGCCGTACGCTGCCATATGCCCATCCGCTCGATACATCGACATTTGTAACACGTCCAAAAGTTTGATCTTCGATTTGGATAACGCTTGCCGTTGCACTGCTGTCCAGCCGGTGGCGTCGCTCCGAGCCTCTGCATAACGCATCGCGTCAGCTTGTAAAGGGGATGCGAACAGCCCACATGTGGTAGCCGCATATCGAAACATATTCGGGTTGTGCGACGGCGGCATGGTGAGAAAAAACGGCCGAACCAGCTGGAAGTTCTTATCAAAATAACCCGATACCGTTTTAAGCGCTGTAGATAACGCGTCTTGTGGTGTAGGCTGAGGCGAAAGCGGCTTTCCTTGCGAGTAATAGATCCTTTGATTGCTGATATAACTGCTGTAAGCGCTGTTGTTGACGCTGGTGCTGGTAGTGGCTGGCTGGGGTAGAAAGTAATTGCTGGCTACGAGAATCAGGGCTTTAAGCTGGGGGATATTGGGGAGCATCTCGAGAATCTTGTGGTTGATTGTGCCCAGTTGAACGTGCCAGAGGTGAGAAGCCTTGGATTCGCCCTGGGGAATGGGAGGAGCAGAGAGGGAGGAGAGTAGAGGAGAGAATCAGGGCTTTAAGCCTGCAGGGGAGCATCTTGAAAACCCACCCACAATTTTGAGGATCTTGTGGTTGATTGAGGAAAGCAGCATCCACCAGAATGACCCATCAACATGCAATGTGCCATGCTGCTTTATGCACTGTAGCAGCAATGTAGCACCGTGCACCATGCACCATGCACCATAGCAGTCACGCCCATCTCCACATCGGGCCATGCCTCCATGAGGAAAGGAGCATCCACCAGCCTGACACCATGTGCGCTGCTCATGCGCCATACCATTACCATGCAACATAGCAGAAAATCTCACCTCCACATCCGACCAGGCCTCCATGAGGAAAGGAGCTCCACCAGAATGACTCGGACTTCGGAATGGCAGCAGCAGCCATGACTGGTGCAAAGCACACCAATGGCACATTCTTACTGCTCACCTCCACATCCGGCCATGCCTCCATGAGGAACGGAGTGTCCACCAGAAGGACTCGCGTGCCCAGCAGCTTCACCTTAAAGCCCTGGCCCGTCCACCCAGCGAGTTTCGGATCCCAGTCCTGCAATAGAAAAGTGGATTGGGGCAAGTTGCCAAATTACCAGGTGATGTGGGTCCCACATGCACATTATCTAGAACCGAAGATGCAGAAACAGCCCAGTTAGTCCAGCCTGTATGTGAAGTGTACCCTTATGGTGGGAGTTGCAAGTAAGGAATGTGTTGGCTATAACACAATTCGTAGTTCGTTCCTTTGTGAGGAATTTGTTTTCTACTGTACCTCTGTAGTGTAGTGTTGGCTAATCCGGCATCGCAGTGATTGGTAGAGGTACTGTCCGGTGCTGTCACCCGCAATAGCAACCGCTTGGCCCACGAATCGAGCCGCAAATGACTTGGGATCGAATCTGCATGGGTAATCACGAGAAGGGTAGGAGAGAAAGAGGTGTCTGAGGAAAGGGAACAAAAGAACAACGAAAGAAGCGAGAGAAGCTAGAGAGAGAGGAAGAGGAACAAAATAAGAACGAGAGAGGTAGAAGAACGAGGGAAGGGGAATGAAAGGGAGAGGTAAGAGGGAGAGCAGAGAGCGAGGCAAGAGAGGTGTGAGAGAGGAAGAGGTATGGATTGAGGGACGAAGAGGACTTATGAAGCAGCATTGGGAGAAGACTAATAAAGTAGAAGGACGGGGTTTGAAACAGTCTTGGATTGAGCCTTACATGGTCAGATCACAGCCGCTGGGTTTCCAAATGAGGTGCTGGAAGTCGCCATCCGGCCGTCCGTTCTTGATGCAGTTGAAGTTATCCGTGATGTACGGACAGTCGTTCTGATACTGCGGATACTTCGACGAAGGAACCCATCTGAAAAAGGGAAGAGGAGGAGGGTATAAGTGGCGGAAACGAAAAGTAAATTGCGAGGAAGAGGGCACCAGTGGCAAATACTTTATTTTCGACTGTAAAATAATGAGGTGGTAAAGCCGTGCGTGAGATTACGGAACAAGCGGCATTCCGATCGTTGTAGCGATAACGAGGATGAGAGGGCAGTAGTAGGAAAATCGTAGAGCGTTTGACTTTGGGGTGAGAAGGTACGGTAACTCACGATCCGACAGTGACGTCGCATTTCTTGCCGGACGACGCGGCGGCCGTCGCATGCGACAAGAGCGAGAGGCTGGCGAAAACAGCGGCGACGACTGTGACTGGTTGGGCGAAGAGCTGCCTCGACAAACGCGGCCGTACTGGAACTCCCATATCTCAAGGGCTGCACTTCTTTGAGTCGACTCAGAAGTTGTCTGAAGGGCTGCACTTCTTTTGAGAAGTTATCTGACGGGCTGCACTTTTGTCCGACAAACAGCTCCGAAACTACTTTTGAGCAGACGAAAGGGTATGGACGAGATCTGGTAGCGCGGAAGCGGACTTGATGAAATCGGATTGAGTTACGATGAAGGAAGTGCAGTGGCTCCGCGATTACGTTATGCTGGAGTGATGTGAGGAGAGTAGGATGCGTGGGGGCGTGAGTGGCTCTACGCTAATGTGGAGTGATGCGCGAGGGCGTGGGTGAGATTTGAGTGGACTCAAGCAGACGAAGTAGCTGCTTTAGTTTGGTTGTCGTGCCGTAGAGGAGAGGGTGAGGAGAGGGACTTGAGAGGGTGCGAGAGGATTTGGATGTCGTGTCGTGATAGAGTCACGCGAAATCAAAAGCTCACCACTAGTTACTATGAGCTGCGTGCGTGGCGGAGCTGCTAGTTACTATGAGGTGTCTGGGCACCACTATGGGAATCTCGGGGTAATACACTGTCAATACGAACTAGCTTTCTATTCCAAAGGGGTTCACGAATAATAGCGCTTAAAACTAGTGTGAACGTTGATGATGTTCAATGCTCGCCCTCTTCGAATGTGGTAGCAATTGGCGGAGACTGGTGCGGATTACGGGAAAGAGGAAGCTGACGCAGATTCTAGAAAAGGAAAGCTGAGATGTCTTGGGCGCCTCGCGCCGACAAATAGGCGCATGGTGTGGCTTGGGATGCGTACTGCGCTGATAGCAGCAGTTCACGGCGGGACTTATTCTCCGTAGAAGCGTATAAAGGCTCTCGCAAATCTGTCCAAGTCGGTCATGATCGTCCCGGAGAAAACCGCCGCTCGGCGTGACGGCGCGCATTTTATCACGCGGCCTAAACCCTGCGGATGACCTTAGGCTCTCCTTGGAGTGGGGGAAAAGATGGGGAGGAGGGTGGATGGATGGGTCGTGGCCGTTGTGGTTCCCGGAAGCTGTGCTATCAAGCCCAGGATGACGGTGGAGTTCCTATAGCAATGGTTTGCGACGGTGGGCCAGTCGCCGTCAGTCTGCGCGGTGGTACCGGCTGTTGGAACCGCGGCTTTCGGCACATCATCATCAAGGCTGGGAGGGGGGCAGGCTTTTGTACCTTCTCATTCGATGATACGGGGTGTCGAGTGATGATGGGTGGAATGATGTGAGGTGAGGTGTGTGAGAGATGAGATGGGTTCACCTAGGCTCGCTTCGCTCTGGAACATAATGAACAGCCAAGCACGCTGAATGCCTCAACTTCAACCTAGATGCGCGTGTGTTGCGCGCGCTGTAGTCGCTGAGATGAGCTACGAGAGATGCCCGAGAAAAGGGGCGTCGGAAGGAACTCGGAAGGTCATTAAACAACAGAGGGAGGGAGAAATCAGAAAACAGGAATGAGAAAATCGACGCACATGGGTGTGCTCGAGTCGAGTCTCTCTCCCCCTTCTCGATCAACTTGACTGACAGGCCCTTCCAAGCCAACCAAGCACGCAGGCGTTTGTTCAGGTTTCACAATAATCACGGCGCAGCACAAAAAAATGGTGAATTTTGTGTGTAGTTGCAAGGCTGTATGGCAGGCGCCTACTTGTGCCCCCATTTCCGCCCCACAAAATGTAGAGATGTCGGCGCACGGTTTGACATTTCCAACGAGGCGCGTATACAAGGGACAAAGCGCGAAACTCCTCCGTGAAGTGCGGCGATGCATTCGCTATGGGCAGCATTGTGATGCCACGTCCTTTTCTCATACGAGATACACCTCGGACTTTCCTTGCGAATTACATCAATAAACTCGCTTACCCGAGTATTCTTACCAAAGCCAAATGTTTACAGAAGAAATTGATTCTTTTGCCGTCCGTGACCAAGTCAGGCATACATACATGCATGTTTTCACCGTTTAACCATTTCCTTGAAGCCACATATTAGAAGAACATTGTATATCCTAGTATTCATAGTCGTTCAATACGGCAAGAAACGAACCCATGCCAAAAGCTATGTTTTAAATTGGAAGAACACAAGAATGATGTACCCTTTCATCAACGTTGTATCAAACAACACACAAATCACAAATTTATTGCTCTAAACTAACTAAGCCCATCCCGTTCACAATAGTACACTATAATCGGCATCTACTGTACGAAAAGCATTTGCCTGGTGAACATACGTATAACATTTCGTATATGTGCCTATAGTGAGGTAACGGAGAGCTTTCAATGCAGTAAATCCGTAGCTATCAGAACTTATTATGGTTTGCTACAGTGTAGCCACCAGCTGACCCCATTGCTCCTGCTCGTGCTTCTCCCCCTGTTTCTACTCCTGCTCCTGGACTTGCTTGTTTGTCTGCTTGGCCAATCGCCCCACCTCCTTCTGCTCTTGTAGGTCACGCAGCTGGGACTACGGCTGCTGCTGCGCTGTCGTCCCCATTCAATAAGTGTGGCCGTTCCGACACTCGCTTCCTCCACTCCTGCCGCTCCTGCACTCGGCACCGCTGCAGCAGCAAATTCATCCCCATACATGGCCCCGTCTCTGGTAAAGGCCAAATCTGAAGGGCGTCTCAACACTTGTCTCCCTCTTCTCCTGCCGTTCCCACACTTGGCACTGCTGCAGCGCTGTCAACCCCATACATGGCCCCGTCCCCAGAAAGCATTGAAGTTCAGACGCGGCTCAACACTCGTCTCCCTCTTCTCTTCCCGCTCCTGAGCTGGGCACTGCAGCTGCAGAAGATTCAACCCCATACATGGCCCCGTCCCCAGAAATGGCCGAGCCGTGCGTTGCGTTGGGAGAAGACGAGAGGGAAGAAGCCTCGATGTCTCTCAGCTGCTCCTGGAGGGCCACCATCTCTTTCTGTGGGTCCAGGGAGGAGGGGGGCAAGAGGGAAGAGAGGAGATAATGGGGGATGAGCATTGAAGAGGGAAGAAGGGCCACCATCTCTTTCTGTGGGTCGCCAAGGGGAAGGAGGGGACAACAGGGAAGAGAGAAGATAATGGGGATGAGCATTGAAGAGGGAAGAAGGGCCACCATCTCTTTCTGTGGGTCACCCAGGGAGGAGGGGGGCAAGAGGGAAGAGAGGAGATAATGGGGGATGAGCATTGAAGAGGGAAGAAGGGCCACCATCTCTTTCTGTGGGTCGCCAAGGGGAAGGAGGGGACAACAGGGAAGAGAGAAGATAATGGGGGATGAGCATTGAAGAGGGAAGAAAGGCCACCCATCTCTTTCTGTGGGTCGCCAAGGAAGGAGGGGACAATCACTGCACTAGGCCATCACTAGGGGATGTAGGCGGGTTAGGACAGTGGGATAGGCCAGTGGGGATGGAGAGAGGAGGGAGTACCTGCAGCAGGCAGATGACTCCCACGCAGCCGTACACCGGGTCTCTCAGCCTCGCCTGTGCCTCGTATTCCAGACTGGCCACTGCATCCTCCCTCTGAGCAACCGGGATGTCCTGAAGAGGAGGGAGGGGAGGAAGGCACCGGAGAAAGGAGGAGAGGCAGGAAAGTGGGAGAGGAATGATAAAACAGGTCTCTCGAGCCTCTCCTGTACCTTGACTTCAAGCTCCCCACTACATGCTTCCTCTGAGCTAGTGAAGTAGATGAGGGAGAGAGGAGGAGCAAGTGAAGTAGAAGGAGCAGGATGACATGATGACAGAGGAGAGGCAGGAAAGGATGTTCAGGCAGGAACGACCCTATTTTTAAACCAAGTGAGGCCGAGTTATTTTGATCTCCTTATCAACAGGATCTCTTGTAATATAATCAGATTCGCCTGTCACTTCGTTATAAGTGCTTTTATGTAAGGCTCGGGACAAACTGTGTTTTCACAAAGCTCACCCCTATAACACCTCAAGGTGGCTTATGTGTAACATTGTGGTAAGGATCACGTATGACTAGTGCCCACCTGTAACTGAAGCTTCGCGGAGCACTTTTTGAACAGCGAGGAACATCACATGTCGCATTTCACCCCACCCGCTCCCACCCCCTCCTTTCCCAACACCATCGGCGACAGCACCACTCCAGGGGTTTCACCTGTAACATCTTGGAGTTCTTCGCTGGCGACGGATTCGCCGAATATGTTTTGTGCTTTCCATTTCGCCTACCCACTGCGACACCACAACCACCTCACCTTCACAGCATCATTCCACAGCATCTATTACCTCAAGATGGGGACCACTACCCTTACACGTGTCTCTCACCTGCAGCACCGCGAGGAACTTCTCCTTCTGGTTGCGCGGAAAGTACGGCAGCAGCAGGCACTCGATTCCGTTCAGTTCCCCTACATCCCCCCTCACCAGAAAGCAACAGTAAGGCTCACCTGCAGCATCTTCGAGACATTACTGGCGCCGAACACTTTGTGCACCACGTGGAACTTCTCCGGCTGGTTGCGCGGGAAGTACGGCAGCAGCGGACAGTACCGCCTTCCCCGCCCGTTCCCGTTCCCTACATTCCCCTTTTCCAGAAGCCAGCAGTAGGGCTCACCTGTAGCATTTTCGACACGTTGCTGGCGCCGAACACCTTGTGCACCACGTGAAACTTCTCCGGCTGGTTGCGCGGGAAGTACGGCAGCAGCAGGCACTCGCGCGTGCACTTGCGCCGGAGCGACTTGCACGCCGCGCACGGCGGATCCTTCGCCGCCGCCGCCGCCGCCGCCGCAGCCGCTTCTGGTGCCGTTGGCGCTTCCGGTGTGGTCGTTCCTTCTTCTGCTGCTGCTGCTGGCGCTGCTTCTGCCGTCGCTGCTGGAGATGATGCTGGCGCGGGGAAGGACCAAGCCGGTAAAGCAGCAGCACCACCACTAACACCACCACCAGCACCACCACCACCGCCAAAAACAGGAGCAGCAGCAGGTGGAGGAGGAGGAGGGGGAAGAGGGGCAGGTGAGCCGCTAGCAGCGACAAATGACACGGCAGCGGAGGCAACAGTTGGCGTAAAAGGGGCGGCAGCGCAGGGGGCAGCAGCTGGCGCGACAGTGGGCACAAACGGGGGAACAGGTGAGCCCACGGGGGTGGGCGTTCTTTGCGCCCCACATTCACTCGTGGTCGGCGGAAAACTCATACCGTTCCAGGTGGAATGGCGGCCCGCGCTGGCGGGCGCAGGGGAAAGGTCTCCGCCAGCCGGGGGCGATCCGCCGCCGCTAGGCGCGGGGGAAACGCCTCCGCTGTATCCGGCGCTGTTGAACGGCGGAGCAACGGCGCTACTATTCATTTGCGCCGGAGGCGGCGCCCCCGCGAGCGGCGCTCCCGCCAAGGCGTGCCACGTGTTGTTGTTGCTGGATGCGACCTGCCACGAGGTGCTGCTGGGGGAGGGTGTATTCGGCCAGGTGTTACTAATTTGAGGCAGTGACAGAAGTTGCTGCTGCCGCTGCGGCTGCTGCTGATGATTCTGCCGCTCCCATACCTGCGACTGCTGCGGCGGCGGTGGTGACACGTATTGCGGCGGTTGTTGCGGCGCGCATTGTGGCGGCTGTTGCGATGCGTATTGCGACGACTGTTGCAGCGCGTCTTGCGGCGGTTGTTGCGGCTGGAATGACGGCGTAGTCGTAGTGACAGCCATTGCACTGCTGCTATAATGCGCAGCGTCAGACGAGGAGGTGAACGTCGACGTGGAATGAGGGAACGGTGACGTGGACTGCGGAGTTAATGGGGCCGACGTGGCACACGCGTTGTAATTTGGATAAGAAGTGTTTCCGTTTGTACCGAAGGATCCATTGCCTGTGCTTGTGTAGGGTACAGTACTCGATATAGGCTGGGGAGACAACGATACCGGAGCAGAACCGGACGAGTAACCAGTCGAGTAACCAGCGGACGAGTTACCACCCATCGAGTAACCAGTGGAGTAACCATTCGAATACGTGACGACGGAGGACGATGACCCCATTGACTGCTGTTGACCTGGGTATTGCGGCGAGTACTCCAGATGCTGCTGTTGCTGCATCTGCGGCTGTTGTTGTTGCTGCTGCTGCGAGTACTCCTCCTGCTGCTGCTGCTGCTGTTGCTGCTGCAGCTGATGTTGCTGCTGCGGGGGCTGGGGTAGCAGCTGTTGCTGCTGAGGTTGCTGTTGCTGCTGAGGTTGCTGTTGCTGGGGTTGGGATTGCTGTTGCTCCCAGTACCCCTGGTTTCCACCGGCCGAACTTTGCAACCCATATCCGCCGCCACCGCCGCAAGTCACGCCGGTATGGCCGCCAATGCCGATACAGGGGCGTACGCGCCTGGAAGGCTCCTCATACGGCGCGGAGTGTTCGTGTCCCTGGCCCATGTGAGACGGAGCTGGTTGACTTGGTTGTCCTGGTTGACTCGGTTGAATCTGCTGAATCGGTTGCATCTCCATGTGTCGTGGACTGTAATTTTGCTGACTGATAGTCGACGTCGCTGCGGCGGACAGCTGTTGACTCGATTGAACCTGTTGACTCGGTTGAATCCGTTGCGTTTGAGGCGATTCAAGAGCCGAGTACAGTGAAGAGTCATTGTTGGCTGTGTTGGGCGACGGCAAAGCGTCGAAGCCCCAGGATGGCGAAAGCGGGTAATCGACGGCGGGCTTTTCAAAAATGTTCGCCAACGGATCGTTCGCCAGTGGGGTCCCATTGCACGAGCTGTAGTGTCCGCCGGATGAATCTCCGTTAAATGCACCATAATCCGTGGACTGAGTGTCACGTGGAGGGATTTGGAGTGCAGGTTGAAAGAGCTGCTGTTGGTACTGCTGTGGCTGATGTGTTAGCAGAGAAACCGTCATTTTCGCCGCTTTATACTCGTCCCAAAGGTGAGACTTCACCGGTTTTTATTTTGAGGCAATTTCAGTGCGTGAAAAGCGGTATTCACCGGATACGGCGCCAAGAAGAGAGCTCCTGGGAGAAAAGGAGCTTTGAGACGTCTCAAAACTCATGCGATCGGAGGAGGAGTCTCCAGCGGCGAACAGCGGCGCGTCACAAATTCGTCCGCGTCATTCCGTGGCTGTGGCTTTCCGAGAATTCTATACCCCTATGTGAATCTGTCAACTGATAAGCTAGATCTCGCGACTCATTCCAGACAATACAGAGCCGCAGTTCCAAGCTGTTTCGACAGCGAAGGAGTTGATGGAAAGATGGAAGGATGGCTGGTTGTGGTGGGAAGAAATTCCGACTGGAAAAAGGGGCGAATAAGTGGGGTGAAGTAGAGCTTCGGTGAGGAGGACCCAGCACGACATGTCCCCAAAATAAGGATGATGCTGGTAGGACATGGGTCGTGGGATGGCATACATGCGCTTCGCGGTGTAGATGGTGGAATCTCGCAAGCACGCGCATGTTTGTGGGGAGGGGGCGAAGCGAAAGTGTGTGCGAATGAGGACTTGTGGATGTGCGAAAGATGGGGTCATGAGTGCGGGCGCGGTATGGATGTATGGTGCACCCGCCCTTCCCTTTGCGCGACGTGACGGCGAATTCCAGAATGCTGGATTCGTAAAGCGGTTCGCAGCGACCTTTGGCGAAGGAAAGCATGCGTGGCAGTGGAGGGATCCCCATGCGAATTACCAGAGGCGAAGGTTAGCGAGCCTTTCAGGGTTCGTGTTCCGTCGCTCGGTCATTGCCAGATCGGTTGGTCTCGTCAAATGCTACGAATTCGTCCCTCTGATTGGATACGACGAGACGGCGACGATGATTCGTTCACTCTGCCAGCCCACAAAATTTCACAGGTTTTGGGAGAGGAAAAGTGGCGCACTCAATTCGCCGCCATCACACGAGCACGTGGCTTGAAGCTGGCGTGTCTCTCTCTCCCATGTCGCATCGCCACCCAACCACCTTGACTTTCCGATAAAAATCATGTTTTTTATCGGTAAGTGTAGCTCATGGAACTTCACTCATAATAGTATGTCTCAGACAATGTTAGACTTAGACATCACCATCAGTGTTCCAATATTCTGCTTCATTAACAGACTCGAATTTGCCATTAATCGCACACACAATGGGGGAAAAAAGTCATGGCACGAGCTTCCATGCTTTCAAGCACAAGAGTGTCAAGAGCTAGGACTTCGACCCCTGCTTCCCTTTATGTGCTTTGCGTCCAGCTTCAATCGCTTCTCTGCAAAACAAAAAACAGACCAACGCAACATGGGTAAGAAACTAGGATACAAGCCAAAGGCTGAAGCTGCACGAGTGCATGCTTATGTAACTTGAAAACTTACTGAAATGCTGCAGTGAGATCCATGTTATTCGGATCGGCTTGAACCCCTTCGAAGAACACATTCGCTGCATCCTCATAACGCTGCAGCACAATGAACGGCAAAAACACGAGTATATTCGGTAAAACTACCGTAAACCCCCGTATATAGGACCCCCTCCAGTTGTAGACCCCCGGGTCTATAATACGGAGGGGGGTACTCTATTCGAGTCTATCCGAGTTATACCCCCCTAAATGGCTCCTGACATTATAAGACCCCCCACATCCTAGAGAAGTGTGTATTTTCAGCGAATGCAATGGAAAATGGTCCTATTCCATGTTCAGGTACAGACAATCACACACATGAACGCGCATGCACATGCCAATTATCAGCCTAATCCTCTCCAGCAACCCAGATCTCCACCTCCTTTTAGATGGCAGCCAGCCGAGCACAGTAAGGGGGGAAGAAACTGGAGGAGGAAGTGAAGTCAGCCCTCAAAAACAAGGACGTGCCAGACGACAGTACGGGAGTCTGAAGCTCCCGCCCTATAGGATCGCACGAAGCGTGCATGGGGTGTGCAGGTCGAGGCGACACTGCGCGCCGGGCCCATCAAACGGTGCCCTTCTCGCTTATGTCAACACCAAGTGATGTTTGTGCCCAATGGGAGGAGGCTTTTAGATAGGGTACGTGATGATGTGGGTTTGGCCCAGGAAGAGACCAGTTCGAGTATATTTGGGAGGTGCTAAAAACGGAGCAATTCCAATTCACTTCTTTGAGCTCCAAAACAGTAGACTTATAGAAGTCAATTTGAAAAGACCCGGGTCTTATAAAATATGTACCATTTAATTATACCCCCCAACTTTTGAAGGCCAGATTATCATAATACCCTAGGGTCTTATATACGGGGGTTTACGGTAGGAAGGAACACCGTACACTGCGAAAAAGAATAGGAACCCTTCTGGTTTAAATTGTACAGTCTCTCCCAAATGCCCCCTGGACCACTGGCCCCTTTCCCCCCTCTATCTTCTCCCCATTCCACAACCTGACACCCCCTCTCGTACCCTCCCACCACTCACCTCCGTGGCTCCGAGCGTGCTCCCTTCTCTGAAGTAAGCCTTGGGCCAATCAGGAAGCAGGGCTCGACTCATCTGCCCGTCTGCATGTCTGCCAGGGCCAGGGGCAGATGCCTACCCCTCCACGTTCCCTCTACCTGATCCCATCTCACCTCTCAGCACTCACCTCCATGGCTCGGAAAGCACTCCCTTCTCGGAAGTACGCCTTGGGCCAGTCGGGCCGCGGAGCTCGGCTCATCTGCCCGTCTGCCAGGGCGAGGGGCGCCTGTCTACCTATCCCTCAAACACCTGTCCCTCTCCCTGCTTCCTCCCTGTTAACACTCACCTCCATCGCCCGGAAAGCACTCCCTTCTCGGAAGTACGCATTGGGCCAGTCAGGGCGCGGAGCTCGGCTCATCTGCCCATCTGCCAAGGCGAGGGGCGCCTGTCTACCTATCCCTCAAACACCTGTCCCCCTCCCTGCTTCCTCCCTGTTAACACTCACCTCCATCGCCCGGAAAGCACTCCCTTCTCGGAAGTACGCCTTTGGCCAGTCGGGCCGCAGCGATCGGCTCATCTGCCCGTCTGCCAGGGCAAGGGGCGCCTGTCCCAATCGCAGCCAGCAGATGCTGCGGTTGGCCAGGAGCGTCCCTTTCATCACCCTGTCCTCTGCTGGAGTTGCTGCCAGGTCTGCCTGCGGGTACATATCCAACGCCTGAGGATGGGAGGTGAAAGGGTAGTGGAGGGAGGGGGCTGGGAGGGTGATAGCATGTAATCGCCTGTCCCAGGCGCAGCCAGCAGATGCTGCGGTTGGCCAGCAGCGTGCCCTTCATCACCCTGTCCTCTGCTGGGGTTTCTGCTAATTCCGCTTTGGGATATAGATCCAATGCCTGAGGGTGGGAGGAAAGAGGTTGGAGAGGGTATGAGGTGGTGGAGAGGGGTGGGGTTGCAGGGATCTCTTAGCATGTGACAGCCTGTCCCAAGCACAGCCAGCAGATGGTGCAGTTGGCCAGCAGAGTGCCTCTCATCACTCTGTCACCCGCTGGAGTAGCTTCCAGCTCTGCTTCCTCTGGGTACAAATTCAGTGCCTGGAGATGGAGTATGGCTTGGTGAAGGGGTGGAGCGTAAGGATGGGCGTGTCATGTGCATTAACATCCTTTCATGTGCATTAACATCCTTTCATGTGCATTAACATCCTTTCATGTGCATTAACATCCTTTCATGTGCATTAACATCCTTTCATGTGCATTAACATCCTTTCATGTGCATTAACATCCTTTCATGTGCATTAACATCCTTTCATGTGCATTAACATCCTTTCATGTGCATTAACATCCTTTCATGTGCATTAACATCCTTTCATGTGCATTAACATCCTTTCATGTGCATTAACATCCTTTCATGTGCATTAACATCCTTTCATGTGCATTAACATCCTTTCATGTGCATTAACATCCTTTCATGTGCATTAACATCCTTTCATGTGCATTAACATCCTTTCATGTGCATTAACATCCTTTCATGTGCATTAACATCCTTTCATGTGCATTAACATCCTTTCATGTGCATTAACATCCTTTCATGTGCATTAACATCCTTTCATGTGCATTAACATCCTTTCATGTGCATTAACATCCTTTCATGTGCATTAACATCCTTTCATGTGCATTAACATCCTTTCATGTGCATTAACATCCTTTCATGTGCATTAACATCCTTTCATGTGCATTAACATCCTTTCATGTGCATTAACATCCTTTCATGTGCATTAACATCCTTTCATGTGCAGCCTTTCATGTGCATTAACATCCTTTCATGTGCATTAACATCCTTTCATGTGCATTAACATCCTTTCATGTGCATTAACATCCTTTCATGTGCATTAACATCCTTTCATGTGCATTAACATCCTTTCATGTGCATTAACATCCTTTCATGTGCATTAACATCCTTTCATGTGCATTAACATCCTTTCATGTGCATTAACATCCTTTCATGTGCATTAACATCTATACATGTGTGTGCACACGCCCCATCCTTCTGAAGAAGGTAAATTCCAGGAAATGAAACATCCAAACTTCTGAAAATGACATTTCCTGGAGTTGATGTATTTATTACTCTGGCAGTGCTGTAAGAATCGATACTACACGTACCTGAGTGTAAGAGTCGACTGCTTCTTGGAACTGCTGTGATCTGAAAGCAGCATCGCCTCTCGTCTTCGCCTCTGCCACTGCTGCAGCCACATCCGCAGACAGAGCAGACCCTGGGGGTGCAGCTCCTACCCCTCCTGCTCCCCCCCCTCCTCCTCCTGTTGACGCCTCTCCCTTCCCCCCTCCTCCCGCTCCTCCTGCAGCAGCTGCTCCCGAAGCTCGTTTCATTACTCCCTCCACCGTCCAATCCCCTTCCGCCACGTCAGCCGGCCGCTGAGTCACCGGCAGCAACAACCCGACAACCTCCTTATTCCCCGCAGCTGCAGCAGCGTCTAGAGCAGTCATGCCATCCTCGTCCCGCCTGTTGGCATCGGCACCGGCAGCAAGGAGGGCCGAGACGGCGGGTGTGTTTCCCGCGTCAGCAGCAATGATGAGAGGCGTGGTGGAGGTAACACAGGGGAGAGGGGAGGATGGGGCTGCAGTGGTGCCGTTGGCACTACTAGCTGCTGCTGCAGCGGCGGCGGCAGCAGCAGCGTTGGTGGGGAGAGGGGGGCCACCTGGGTTGGGCTGGGCACCATGCTGTGACAAAGGGGAGAAGGGGGAACAGGGAAGTCTGAAACCTCTCACACCCAAAAATGTGTACGCTAAACCCCAAACCCTGTACACAACCCTGGAGTACCCCTAATTCCTTTGTATCCTGAACAGGTTGGTACCCCATCCAGCGTCACACTCTCGTCTCATCCCAGGTTAAACCTCTTCCTTTGTATCCTGGAGAAGTTGGTACTCTCAGTCAGCAGCGAGTGGCAGAAGTGGCAGTCAGCAGCGAGTGGCAGAAGTGGCAGTCAGCAGCGAGTGGCAGAAGTGGCAGTCAGCAGCGAGTGGCATAAGTGGCAGTCAGCAGCGAGTGGCAGAAGTGGCAGTCAGCAGCGAGTGGCAGAAGTGGCAGTCAGCAGCGAGTGGCAGAAGTGGCAGTCAGCAGCGAGTGGCAGAAGTGGCAGTCAGCAGCGAGTGGCATAAGTGGCAGTCAGCAGCGAGTGGCAGAAGTGGCAGTCAGCAGCGAGTGGCAGAAGTGGCAGTCAGCAGCGAGTGGCAGAAGTGGCAGTCAGCAGCGAGTGGCAGAAGTGGCAGTCAGCAGCGAGTGGCATAAGTGGCAGTCAGCAGCGAGTGGCAGAAGTGGCAGTCAGCAGCGAGTGGCAGAAGTGGCAGTCAGCAGCGAGTGGCAGAAGTGGCAGTCAGCAGCGAGTTCACGCTATCCTCGTTGGGCGTGTCTGGATTCCAAACCAGCAGAGCACCCGACCCCAATACGTGCTCCAGAACCCCAAAACCTGAACCCCAAACGCTGATCCTCGAACCCTGCTTACGCCCTGTACCTACCTACCTTGGGCTTATTGGGTCTTTACTGTGACAGTCAGCAGAACCCCATCCCCTCACCCCTTGGTACCTTGAGCACCAGTTTCACAATCCCCGTCTCCCCAGCAGACGACTTTTGAGACGTCTCAAAAGTCGTCTCCGTCTCCCCAGCAGCCTTGGCTGTCTGTCAGCAGCGAGCTCACCCCATCCTCGTTGGGCGCATCTGGGATTTGAGTTTGGCAGTTCAACCCTTTCGCCTCGAAATATGTACCCAGATGGAACCATGCACCTGAAACCCTGTTCTCTGTGACCTGCAGCTACCCTAAACCGTACCTGGAGCAAAAGCTTGACTATTTCCGTCTCCCCGGCAGCAGTGGCGGTGAGCAGCGAGGTCACGCCATCCTCGCTGGGCGTGTCTGGATTGGCTCCCCTCGTTAGAAGCACACCGGCTGCAGCCACCTTCCCGTGCCCGCACGCCCATAGCAATGGCGGCCCGGCGTCGCTCTGAGCGTTAGGGTCGGCGCCGTGGTCCAATAGGAGCTCGAGGATCTTCACCGAACCTGCGAGGGAGTTTCGGAAGTTGTCAGAGTGGGTTAGGGTCGGCATTGTTGGCCAATAGGAGCTCCCGGGTCTTCACTAAGCATGAAGAAGCAAAAGAATAATACACCAGCAAAAGAAAACAAAAAAAAAGGAAAAACAGCAATAATAATGGCATACAGAGCCTTTTATCCGTGCTTATAAAGGATGTGCGTGTAATGAGCTAGCTATCACCCACCATGCCCTGCCGCATGATGTATCGCCTGCGCGCCCGACTTCTCTGCTGACATGGCAACAGCCGCCCCGTGCTCGACCAACCACATGGCAGCGTCTGAGTGGTCGTCCCTCGCTGCCAGCATCAGCGGCGTCTCCCCCTCGTCATCCTTCACATCCACTGGAACGCCTATCTCCTCCACCATGTACCTACAGGCATTTAAATATACACATAGTCAGAGTTGAAAAAACAGAACGCATACACACACGCATTCGTCTCCCACGTCTCGCCCTGATCGTCCTTCACAACCACCTCAACCATCTACCTGCACGCATATGAATTCAATAATAAGCCGCACAAGAAGAAAAACATCGACCCAACCCAGCCACGTACCTGCACGCGTCCACATGCCCCTTGCTGGCTGCAAAGTGCAGGGCTGTGCGACCATTGGCGTCCCTCACCTCCTCCAGCACCTCCCTCGCTTCCTCCACTGCAAGCTTCCCCTCATTAATGTCACCCGCACCAGCATCCCCACCAGCAGCGGCAGCAGCAGCAGCAGTGTCACTACTAACTATCTCGTCAACATCAAACTCTGATAGCATTTCCACTCCCCCTTTCTTCCCCTTTACCTTCCCCTCCCCTCCCCTTTCCGCCTTCCCTGTCCCTTCCCCCTCCGCCTTCCCCTCCGCTTTCTCCTGCGCCTTCCCATCCGCAATCATCACAGCCACTGCTTGTTTCAACCCGGCCACGTCACCGTCTTGGGCAGATTTCAGTAGACGGTTAACTTTTTCCCGGGCAGCCCACGCTGCTGCCCCGTCCTTCTTTTCACCTGCCCCATTCCCGTCCTTCCCCTCCGCCTTCTCCGTTCCCCCTTTCTCCCCTCCCCCCGCCCCTGCCTGCTCCCCGCCTGCTTTGGCACTTCCATTCTCCGCTGCTGCTGCCGAAGCTGATGCTGTTGCCGAACCTGCAGCCTTGTTCGGGGAGGTTCGGATGGGTCCGAACCTCTTTTCCAAGGCTTCAGTGTCAGTCAGGGCGGGCCATTTCTGCGGGTGCTGCTTCGTCACGGTCAGGACGAGCGTGGAGCCGTCGATGTACCAGGCTGAATCGGACGGTCGGATCTTCTCGTACAGATCTGGAGCGTTCAAGAGCGGCGCTGCAGCGCCTTCCTTCCATGTCACCTGGCAACGAGGAAAAATAAAATCGCGTGAGATTGTGACTACACAATGTGGAAGGATATTCGGTTATTATGCAACTAAGTAGAATGTGACACAATGCAGTGGTTGAATGCGGCAATGGAGATTCGTTATAAGCCTACGAGGAAGAGCGTGCTACTAGTTACGACGACAGCTGGTAGATAATGACAAACGGATTTTGGGTAAACGTTTATCGTTCGGTACATGAAGAGACAGGCGAAGATGGAAGTATAAAGATGAATTTGGAAGTATCAAGGGGTGCCAGACGGTGCAATCAAAGTGAGAAGGGTACAAAGCGGTGCAATGTAGGTAAATGGAATGGGTGCAGAGCAGTATCACACCTTGACGGAGCTCGGCTGTATGTCAATGGACAATCGCTTTGCAACATCTGAAGCCTTGATTTCTGCCGGCAGCGGGATTCGAACCTCAACCTCCTCTCTTCCGTCCTCGAAGGTGTGCATGGTTCCGTAGAGGGTAAAAGAGTAGTCAACTAACGAAGACGGAGAAGGTCTGGAACGCGGTGGTAGGGAGCGATGACGTATGCTTAAAATGTGCAGCTGAAGATCTCACAGGAATTGACGATTAAGTGATCTAAAGCAACTAATTCGGTAAGAGCTGGAAAACAGTGATCAATCACGAATAAAGTAGGGTGGTGAAGAGGTAGGAAGTCAGTGGATTAAGGACGGCTTATAAAAAGGCAGCAAGGATAGACGTCTTCTGGATGATCCTAAAAGGCTCTGTTCTGGTGAAAGTTCCTGATGAAAGTTCCGAACTCTGGCTAGCTTCTAGTTGCTACTGGAGCCTTCTAGATTTGTCTTGGTTGGATGCTGCATGAAATGCATACGCTTCAAAAGGCAGTCCATGTTGCATACAGTAGTCAAAATCGTTTCCTGCAGTTTGTTTGGTTACACGATCACGTGTAGCTATCGTTCTTGTCTCCGTAAATTGCGCTAATTGATTGGTCGCAGGGGGGCTTGCTTGGCGCTTGGGTGGTGTTCCCTTGTTCCAGCCTCGGATGGTGCGCAATGGGCATGATGCAGGGTGTTGAGCTGATGGCTGAAACCGCCCATTCTCCAATCAGAAACGACGAGATGCAACATTTTTGGCTGTTCTAGGCCCACTTCGGCAGGCATTATAAAAACGGTTTCCCCGTATGGGCTACAGTAAACCGACCACCCTGGAACCTTCCGTGATAACCTGCCAAGAGGTTATCAAGGCTCGATATAAGTGGATCTACTCCGAGCCTGAGCGGTTGAAAACGCCAGCCGAACAGCCCTCTAAATGCTGGCGTTTTCAGCCCTTCGATGCTTCCAGGAATCCGTCGCCCCTGGCAAACAGACGCACCAGTGATCCGCCGCATGGTCCATCGTCGAGAGCCACCACCATCCGGCGGATCACTGATCCGGGGCAACCACACCATGCCCTGATAAAAACAAACCCCGGCTTTCGTACCCCTTTTCTTGCCCATTCAAAACATTGAAGCCCAACCACACTTCCACAAACAATTCAAACACATGATCCACTCGTATTAGGGTTGACACTCTACTCGCATCTACCGCCGTGAAACGACCCTCCGTTGCCAGCCCTCGCCACAATACCTAGCCATGCAACGACCTGAGCTTCTAGGACGCCTTAGAGCGGTATCTTCAAACACGCAGAGACGTAGTGCGTCCAGCTTAGGCAACGGCTGCGGCCCTTCCTCTACGAATAATATGGCTGGAGCCGCCGCTAATACATCAAATGCGGCGGTTAGTGCAGGCAGTGGCCCTCCCCCAGTAACGCCAATATTCCTCCCCATGACTATGTGCTCTCAGACAGGCGTCCAAGGGGTGGCAAATCCCGAAATCCCATCGTCGTTTAGCTCGCTTCGAATTGGAGAAAATGGCGGCATCCGAAGCGCCGATTCACAGACCCCTTCCACGCCAGACGGCGTACCACTGCCTGCTATCGCACCCCATGGCGCGGCAGGGTCCGTAATCCCCCCTGTTCCACTGGCGAACAACTCTACCGGAATGGGTTTCACTCGCAGCGTCGAACCTGCACATGCACAGACCCTGTCCAATCCGGAAATCGGCGCATCAGCAAGCGTCGCGCCTATTGGTAGTGTAGGGGTCGCAGCTCTCCCACTTCCTTCAACCTTGAATGCGTTCGGGACGGGAGAAAATGTCCGCATTGATCCCGCCAATACACAACTCCCTCCCACACCTGGTAACTTCTCCACGCCTACCAGCGCACAAGCTGCCGCGCTGGGCGCGGCATCACCCCTTCTTCAGGCTCCCCTCATCTCTACCGGAATTGCTTCGCATGACAGCGTTGGTCCCGTCGATGGCGGAGTCCCCAGCACTCCTGGCAACATCCGACTGCCATGTGCAGGCACAACGAGTGGCGCGCAGGCGGCGGCCTCCTCCTACAACACGGCGCCGCGCTCATCCTTCGGATCTGGAGCTAGTGCCCGCACAGGACCCGGCTCGAGCCAGAGGCGGCTACGGCCTGGACTTGATCCGCACGTTGAAAACAGCGTCGCGCGTGGCGACGAAGTGACAGAGACGTGCAGCCCAGGCGGCAGCGGTCGCGTGTGCACTGCTCGATGGACTCCCGAGCAGACCACAGATCTTCTAACTATCATCCTACATGTGCAACAGTCTCACGGTCTGCAGCCACACGAGCCCATCGGGAGCTGGAGAGATGTGCACCGTGAGTGGTCACGAATGCATGCTGACCGCCCTTACACGCTCGACCAGCTGGAGAATCGGCTGCGCGTGGTGAAGCGCTGGCTGCCTGAAATAAAGTGGCTGCAGGAACAGGTTCCCACGGGCATAAACTGGAACCCGAGGACCGACCGCTTCAGACCCCCTCCTGCGGTGCGTCTTTTAATATTCTTGTCTTTTAGCTGCATATCCATCAAATTTGCCCTTTTTCCATGGAAAATCTGCCCCTTCCTCTCTCCAAACATGCAGGTGCTTGAAATAGTGTCCAGACACCAGATGTGGCGGGAGAGGGCGCATCGGTGGCAGCACGATATTGCCCCGTGGCTTGACCTTGCGGCACAACTCGACTCCAATGGCGGCAGCCGAGGTCAGTACGCAACCACGGGAGATGATGGTCCCCGCTCCTACTCGGACGACCCTGGCGCACTTGGCGAGGGACCTGCACCAGAGGGAACATCAGGAGGCCGCGAAGGGGGGGACTCAGGAGTGAAGAATAGTCAACGGTTCAGATGGGTAACAGACAATATTGGACTGAAGGGATGTGAGCTAGATGAATGGGAGACAACGGTAAAGTCAACTCAGGAGTTTGTGGTCAATCTAGAGAGAAGTTTAGATTATATGGTGTATAAGCGTATTGCCTCTTGGCCATGCATGTTAAGTTATGGACCCAATGTCGTACAAAACAGCCTGTAGGCAGGACATTATCCGTGCTACCATGCCAGGTCAACAATATAACTATTCTGCCCTCCTTAGATAGTCAATGTCAATGCATTCTAAACAATGACCAGCAAATGCTGCTGCACGAGAGGCCAGGGTCCAGAATCAGGCAATCGTCCGAGACTCCCACAAGGCCGTTGCAATGTTGTCACGCCGCTGATGCCCGATAAGAGCGTGCTGGCGTGCACGACCGGACAGTGTGTTGCTGTCACCCACAGCGTTGGATTCATGCTCATCTTCGGTACGGGTGTCGTACACGAAGTCCGACCCCCCCCCTAGTTTTATGAAGTTGTGAAGCACGAAGCAGGCAATGACGATGTCACATTGCAAGGCAGAGGAATAAGGACGCATCAGCTTCAGAATGGGAAACCGGGCCTTCACCTGGCCAAACGCGCATTCCACATGCGAACGCATACCGGAATGCGTACGGTTGAAGAGCTCCTCTTTCCTCTCTGGTGAGCGCCCTGCTTGCTGCCAGCGAGTAAGGTGATATAACACCTGCCGGTAAGGAGAAAGGCAGTGGGCGTCGTTGCGAAATCCAGAATCGGCGCGAAGGTACTTGCCGCGTGGTATACGAAGGCCCCTATGCAAGGCATTCTGGAAGACGGTTGAATCATGGGCGGATCCCTCCCAGCCTGCTAACACGTACAAAAATAGATCATTGAAGGAGACGACCGCTAAGACATTCTGAGATACTTGACCGTGCCGATCATAGAAGGCTTGTTGCCTATCCCGTCGAATACACGCAGGAATAAGGGTCCCGTCCACTGCGCCGAGTGCGCCTCTAAAATGTGCGTACTCCGGACGTGATCTGAGGAAGTCGGTGTCTTCCTCTGTTGGCATTTGAACGAGAAGCGGTTTTAGGCGGAGTATGGCAGTGCACACTTCGGCAATTAGCGCACTGATCGTTGAACCACTGTGCTGCCAGCGCTCTTGGAGGTCGCGGTTAGATGCTGCATGCCCTACGAAACTTAAGAATATGAGGAGCTTTTCAGGGAGGCCAATGTGCCTCCCTGGCGTCAACAACTCCCTACAGCTAACGAGATTGCAGAATGTGCTGAATAAAGCGGGTTCCATTCGTGTGGCTGTACGCATTCGCTCCGGATGTCCCGTCAGTAACTCATGAGCGTAAGCCCGACCGGTTAACGTTGACGTATGTCGTGGCTGGTGCATGTATCTGCTAGCTGCTTTAGCCAGCAAGTCAGACATAATTATACGTAGCGCCGCTAGACGACCATTTAAGACTTGCTCCACCAGGCTGTGGCGCGACGAACTGTCTGATCCGAGGGTAATGTCTAAGTTCGTCAGTCGTAAGGGATCGAATGAGCCAGCCATTCTGGATCGAATGTGTGGTGTGCGAGCTGCTCTATTTAGGGGTAAAATATGCAGGGAAGAGTCTTGCATTGGCGAAATGTGTCTGGTTCCTTTAGCGTAGGAGGACGAGGTTGGAGGGGCGCGTTTCCCCTGTCGGAATTTTTTTTCGCCATGAGAAACAGTTGTCAGGGCAGTTAACAGAGATTGTGCGATCCAGCATGGCAGCTGCATTCTGGCCTCTTCGAATGTTCAGCTCCCATAACGCCATCATTGTTAACGCCTGCCGAACACTCAACCCCGTTATTCCGAAGTTACAACGCTAGCGCATCTTGGCTTCGTCGGTATTTCGACCCGGCGTTTTTCGAGGCCCGTTAAAAAGGCCCATAACGCCCATAACGCCTGCCGAACTGGGCCCTAACCTGAGAGGCTAGTAATGTTTCAACCAGCCGACATCCCGTCAATAACATCGCACCAATCGGTTTGCGAAATGCAAAATTTGTCGCCAAAGGCAGATTTGGAGGAAGTCATGCGTTGTCTGATTGGTTGACACCTGTTACAATTAAGTCGTACAATCGGCTGGAGATGGCGGCCGACGGATCCAGCTGGCGCGTCGCTCCTTGATCAAGTCGAATCGATGGGGTGCTTCGTTCAGGTAGGGCAGCCAAACAAACTGGTTGAACAAAACTGATCACCCCACCACACAATTTCTGATGACATTCCAGCCACAAACTGCCTCGGAACAAAATTTCCACTTCGGGCTAAACCCACTCTCTAATTTCTGTACCGTCGATCTTCTCACGACGCCCGATCCTACGGCAGGTTTATAACGAAAACCCTTCCAAGCAGCCCTAATATACAGCTTATTTTTGTTCTCCTCGGGCCCCTCGTCTCCCTCGGGAAATGCGTTCTGCTTGATCAGACGTGAAGATTACACAACTTCCTCAAACCAAACACATTTCCTCTAGCTGTTGTTTCTCGGTCCGCCATAACTTCTCTGTTCCTCTTCTCAACCTCCGTTCCTGGACCGCCATTCTTCCTTCCGTAATTCGGTTGATTATTACTGTTCGACAGACTGTTTCCGATCGCAACGCATCTGATTCTCCGCCACATTCAGAGCATCTTGCGAATCTGTTTCTCCCAGCTACGCTCCTCCAAAACGGAATTCTTTAGGTCTTCGTCGTTCCCTACACTACCCGGCCCAGACCCGGTCGGTCGGCTATCATTCATCGTCCGATCGGCTTACGGTTGCTCCGAATCAAGCACTTGATTGTTCAGCAAATACACTCCCCGTCCTTCCATCGAACAGCAATCACTCTGTTCGTCAGTTGCCTCACAGGTTCACCGCTGGACAATTCTCCCACTTAACAGCCTTCCTTCGAAGTGCTATCCAGTCAATTGAACCCGACAAAAGCACCGCAATGTCTTCTCTCCAATCAGCTACTGCACTGCTTCACCACGCGGGATCCGTAACCGGCGGCGCTAGTAACGCCACAATTCGCGCCGGAAAATCCGCTCACGATTCGTCGATTTCTTTGCGATCAAGCTTCCTTCCTCGCCTCGATTCGACGCTCACTACCACTACCTCCACCTCTTATTCGTCACTCCCTTCCCCGTCTCTTATCGCCGTCCGATCGGCATCTGCGAGTGCGGCGGGACCCGCCGCAATTTCCGGCGGCCAATCACAGAACGGTGCCGTCCGAGACCGAGTGATCGCGATTCCGGATTTCGAGGCGGATTTCGCGCCGGAGGTGAACGGGACGTACGGGAAGGGCGGCAGCGCGGAGGACGATGCGGCCGCCATACGCGGCGGGTTAATCGACGGCGGGCTCGTGTACAGGGAGCGGTTCGTCATCCGGTGCTACGAAGTCGGCGTTAATCGAAAAGCTTCTATGGAAACTATTGCTAACCTTCTGCAGGTAAACCCTCAATGGGAATAACTTATATGTGATTCGCTTTAGTTGCGTTCCCTTCTTGGTTCTCACTCTCAACCCTCCGACTCCCTTCACCCAGCATCCCACCCTCTCTCCTCCCAGGTTCCACCGCCCTCTATCCCTCTCTTTATCCCCTAACCGACTGGTTCTCTGTGTAACCCTGTGGCATTGACAGGAGATAGGGTGCAATCACGCCCAGAACGTGGGGTTTTCCAACGACGGTTTCGCCACCACGCCAGCGATGCTCGCGAATCGCCTCATCTGGGTTACCACCCGCATGCACATCGAGATGTACAAGTACCCCAAATGGTAGGCGAATTTTGGGTGTACTCTGAAATATGCCCGCAAATCGCCTGATGTGGTTACCACTCGCATGCACATCTTGATGTACGCGGCTACCTGCCTTCGCTTGTATCTCTGTACCCGTTTTAAGCAAATCCGTAAATCATTTCTTCCGATTCTGCGAATTTTCCACCTCTCCTGACTCCTGTGTCTTGTCCTCTTTCCTGATTGGCTGCCATGTTGATTGCCACGTGGCAGGGGTGACGTGGTGGAGATTGATACGTGGTTCCAGGACGGCACCATCATGTCGCGCCGTGATTGGATCATCCGATTCGGCCACACGGGGGAGACCATCGGCCGAGGCACCAGGTAATTGTTAGTGGGAAGCGATTCGGCTATATCGGATTTAGTGTGGTTGGGTGTGGCTGGGTGGGACTGCGTGTGGTTGGGTGTGGCTGGGTGGGACTGCGTGTGGTTGGGTGTGGCTGGGTGGGACTGCGTGTGGTTGGGTGTGGCTGGGTGTGGTGTGATTGGATCATCCGCTTCCAACATGGAATTAGTTAGGTGCGGTGCGGTTCGGTGTGGCTCAGTGAGGATCAGTGAGGATCAGTGAGGATCAGTTAAGCTACTTTGGCCCGGTGGCGATCTGAGTGCACCAGGAATTCAAGAGTAACCTGGTAACCATCTGGAAACCATCACACAACTTGGCCCCGGCCTCACCCACCCACTAGCGCTGCCTCTGCCCTGCTGAGCCCCGCCCACTTGCCCCCCCACTCGCCCCCCCACTCTCATCAGTTCATGGGCCATGATGAACCGAGACACAAACAAGGTGCCTCGCCAAGGTGCCAGCTGACGTGCGCACCCCTTCTCGCCTCATCCCCTTCCTCCCTTCTCCTTCCCCGCCCACTGCCCCCCCCACTCTCATCAGTTCATGGGCCATGATGAATCGCGACACAAGGCGCCTCTCCAAGGTGCCAGATGACGTGCGCACCCCTAAACCCTAAACCCTTCCTCCCTTCTCCTTCCCCGCCCACTGCCCCCCCCACTCTCATCAGTTCATGGGCCATGATGAATCGCGACACAAGGCGCCTCTCCAAGGTGCCAGCTGACGTGCGCACCCCTTCTCGCCTCATCCCCTTCCTCCCTTCTCCTTCCCCGCCCACTGCCCCCCCCACTCTCATCAGTTCATGGGCCATGATGAATCGCGACACAAGGCGCCTCTCCAAGGTGCCAGCTGACGTGCGCACCCCTTCTCGCCTCATCCCCTTCCTCCCTTCTTCCCCGCCCACTGCCCCCCCCACTCTCATCAGTTCATGGGCCATGATGAATCGCGACACAAGGCGCCTCTCCAAGGTGCCAGCTGACGTGCGCACCCCTTCTCGCCTCATCCCCTTCCTCCCTTCTCCTTCCCCGCCCACTGCCCCCCTCACTCTCATCAGTTCATGGGCCATGATGAATCGCGACACAAGGCGCCTCTCCAGGGTGCCTGCTGACGTGCGTGCGCGCCGGGCTTATAGTGCACTGCTCCCCCCAACATGCCTCTTTCCCTCCCCCCTCCTGCTTTCCTCAGTTCATGGGCCATGATGAACCGAGATACAAGGCTCCTCTCCAAGGTGCCCAGTCCCTTGCCCCTGATCTATCTCCACTCCTTTCCCTTCTGCACACCCTCCCTCCCCCCCTTTCCCCCCTGCTACCCCCTCAGTTCATGGGCCATGATGAACCAAGATACAAGGCGCCTCTCCAAGGTGCCTGCTGACGTGCGCGCCTCTTACTTCCCCTCCACTGCTTCCCCTACGCACCCTCCGCCCTTCCCCACCCTGCTACCACCAGCTCATGGGCCATGATGAATCGGGACACAAGGCGTCTCTCCAAGGTGCCTGCTGACGTGCGCGCCGAGCTCATAGTGCACTGCCCCAACCCTGAGAGGTGGGTGTGACTGTATCGAGTGGGACTTTATTCATTGGACTATATCGAGCTCATAGTGCACTGCCCCAGCCCTGAAACGTGGGACTATATCGAGTATCTGGAGCTCAGTGCACTGCCCCAACCCTGAGAGGTGGGTGGGTGGGACTATATCGAGTATAGACTATATAATTGTGACTATATCGAGTAGGAAGATGGGATCATATCGAGCTCATAGTGCACTGCCCCAACTTTGAGAGGTGGGTGGGTGGGACTATATCGAGTGGGACTATATCGAGTGGGACTATATCGAGTGGGACTATATCGAGTGGGAATATTTAAGTGAAACCGCTGACCTCACGTTGTGCACTGCCCCAACCCTGAGAGGTGGGACCAGTGTCTATATTGTACCTTGGATATTATTTCTACAGTATGTGGCCTGAGAGGTCAACTTGTTTTGAGACGTCTCAAAACTTTATTTCTACAGTATGTGGCCTGAGAGGTGAACTTGTATCATAATCAAGGTGGGATTGCGTCTGCAACAAGCAATCTCCATCCACGTAGAGAGTTCCTTTTTGATTGGCTGCTTTGAGACGTCTCAAATCCACATAGAGAGTTCCTTTGATTGGCTGCTTTGAGACGTCTCAAATCCACATAGAGAGTTCCTTTGATTGGCTGCTTTGAGACGTCTCAAATCCACATAGAGAGTTCCTTTGATTGGCTGCTTTGAGACGTCTCAAATCCACATAGAGAGTTCCTTTGATTGGCTGCTTTGAGACGTCTCAAATCCACATAGAGAGTTCCTTTGATTGGCTGCTTTGAGACGTCTCAAATCCACATAGAGAGTTCCTTTGATTGGCTGCTTTGAGACGTCTCAAATCCACATAGAGAGTTCCTTTGATTGGCTGCTTTGAGACGTCTCAAATCCACATAGAGAGTTCCTTTGATTGGCTGCTTTCCTTTCCTTTGGTGACTACTGGGAAGGAACCAGAAGTGAAGGCCAAAGAAGACATAGGGCTTAGGGACTAGACTAAGTCGCTGCTGACGCGCCTCACACATGCACATCCGGCCCTCCTTCTCCCCTGCTCCGCCCTCCTTCTCCCCTGCTCCGCCCTCCCTGTGCCATGCCATGCCCTGTCCCCCCTCTCCAGGTTCTCTATTCCCAAGAGCACCGTAGCAAGGATCCCGAAGCTTGAAGAACCAGCAGACCACGTCCGGCCGTACCTACGGGTAAGGCCCCTAGCCTCATACCACATGCCACATACTTTTGAGGCGCCTCAAAAGAACCATCAGACCACGTCCGGCCGCACCTATGGGTAAGGCCCCTAGTCACGTGTAGTGAGGGTGTTTTTGAGACGTCTCAAAAACACCCTCTCTACACGAGGCCCTTACCCTCATACCACATGCCACATACCCCATCCCACGCACCACATACCACATACCCCATACCCCAGGCTCCATAGTCCCATGCCCTTTGCCCCATGCACCATGCCTCATGCCTCCTACTCCCAAGCTGGATGAACCAGCAGACCATGAGCGGCCATACCTCTGGGTAAGCCCCTCTTATGTGTTGTCCCCATACCCCATGCTCCATCGAAGTCCCGTCACCCCTAACACATGGCTGATATCCCCTATTCCAATATGCCTTCTCTTTCATGTATTTTTCCCTTCTTTTGAACCTCATCCCCCACCAGCCTAGGTGCAGCGATTTGGACATGAATCATCATGTCAACAACGTGACATACCTCTTCCCCTCGTCTCCTTTCCCCTTGTTGGCTCTCTGTTTCCCTTCTTTTGAACCTCATCCCCCACCAGCCTAGGCGCAGCGATTTGGACATGAATCATCATGTCAACAACGTGACATATATTGCATGGATGCTTGAGGTGCGTTGCTTGGGTTGTCGGGCTGCTTGGGATGTACAGCTTGCTTTAAAACTCTCTTGAGTGATTTGGACATGAACCACCACGCCAACGACGTCACCTACATCGCATGTAATGCATACTCTAGTCTCCATCCCCTGTTCTGGATTGCATCTCTCAAGTCCTCCCCCCCTTTCTTTTTTTTTCCAGTTGTTTTCTTCCCATCACCTCCCTTCCCCACCAGAGCCTGCCCCAGTCCCTCCTGGGATCATCAGAGCTGGCTGAAAACACCATCGAGTGGCGCCAGGGATGTGGGCAGGACGAGGAGGAGTTTGACCATCATAGACCACGGGTCACTCTTCATGTGGTTTCCTCATTGTGCCCTTGCTTCCTTTGCTGCTCTTCCCATCACCTCCCTTCCCCACCAGAGCCTGCCCCAGACCCAACTGGGATCATCAGAACTGGCTAAATCACATTATAGATCACCAGGAGTGCAGGCAGGATGACGAGGAGTCAACTTTTGAGACGTCTCAAAAGTCTATCACTAGGAGTGCGGGCAGGATGACGAGGAGGCAGACCACTGTACTCCATGATTCCATCTCCATGCGTTTCTTTCTAATTCCTGCTTGTTTTCAGGTTTTATCCTTTTCTTCCCTCCACTTACACTCCTGCTTCCCATCACCTCCCATCACCTCCAGGGCCTGCCCCAGTCCCTTTTGGGATCATACAAGCTAGCTGAAATCACCATTGAGTGCCGACAGGAGTGCAGGCAGGATGACGCACTCTGACCGTCATAGACCCATGAGATATTATTCCTCTTTTTCCATCACCCCTCTTCCCCACCAGAGCCTGCCCCAGTCCCTCCTGGGATCATCAGAGCTGGCTGAAATTACCATCGAGTATCGCCAGGAGTGCGGGCAGGATGATGTGGTCGAAACTCTCGCCAAAGAGGTCGTTTCACCTGAAGTTTCATCTGAAGTTTCACCTCGGGAGGGTGCAGCTGAGAAAGTGGTATCTGGTGCAGGTGCCACTGCTGCTGGTGGTAGCAGTGGTGGGAGTATGAATGGCACTGCCATACTGGAAGTGGAAAGAGGAAATGGGAGTCTCACTGCTGCTGCTGCTGCTGCTGCTGCTGCTGCTGCTGCTGGGGCTGAGGGGGTGGTGGAAGGGGGTGAGCAGCAGCAGCAGATGCAGCAGTTTCTGCACCTGCTGCGGTCGCAGGAGTGCAAGAAGGAAATCAACAAGGGAAGGACGATCTGGAGGAAAAAGAGCCAAGCAGACCTTTGAATGCTTGAAGAAGGGCCTGTGGTATCCTCGCTATAGGATGCGATGAGAGTAGCTGTAAGAAAACGAGTACCTGTGCTAGAACTTCAAATGAGGGACAGCATTGCTGCCTATCTAAAAAGCGGAGCAATGGTTATGTGGTGTGGGGTACTTGCTATCGTGATTGTTGCTAAGGTGTATATAATTGATAACTATTTTTGCTCGCACACATTATATGGAACTCTGTACCGCATTTGAGTGCAAACAATACCCATACTATTCTTACATCACAATGCCACATAAAACATGTCTCTCGTCCACAAAACTCAAGTTACAAGTTTTGCCACTACCCACCATCTCAATGCTCTCGTTCTGAATTGCTAGTATGTAGGATAGCAACTTCCATTCAGATTCTGCATCTGTCCTTTTTCTCCCTCATTCCTCTTACTGCACCAGCTCAGCAATGAGGCTCTGCTGTCCATTGAGGCGGAGCAGGAGGGAGAGAGGCGTGGAGGAGGAGGAGATGTGAGCTAGCAGAGATGCAGCAAGGGTGGAAGACAGCTGCATCTCCCCAGCCATTGCAAACACAGTGTTTGCAGCCTTAGTGGCAGCTGCAGCAGCACCGCCAGCAGCAGTTGCAACAGTCGCAGCTCCAATGGTTGTTGCAGTAGCAGCACCGCCAACAGCAGCACCAGCAGCAGTAGCAGCAGTGGCGGCAGCATCAGTGGCAGCAGTGGCGGCAGCATTGATGTTGCCTGCTGCAGTGACCCAAGCGCCAGGCAGGACCACTAGAGGAGTCAGGGCCAAGGACGCCGAACCAACCACCGAACCTGAAAGGTTAGCCGCCGAGCCTGCTGCCTTCCCTGCTGCGCCTGCTGCTTTCCCTGCAGCACCAACTGCCTTTCCTGCAGTGCTTACTAGTGAACCTGCAGTGTCCCCAACCAAGCCTGCGGCCGAGCCTGCAGCCTTACCAGCAGTGCCAGTGGCCAAACCTGCAGTATTCCCTACCAAGCCAGTTGCCGAGCCTGCAAGGTTCCCCGCCGCACCCGCTGCCCTCCCTGCAGTGCCAGCCACCGCGCCTGCAGCAGTGCCGACCAAGCCTGCTGCCGAACCAGAAGAGTTACCGACCAAACCGACAGCCAAGCCTGCGAGCCTTCCAGCAGAGCCTGCCACCTTTCCTGCAGTACCAGCAGCCGAGCCTGCAACAGTGCTGACCAAGCCTGCTGCCGAGTCTGCCACCTTCCCTGCAGTTCCAACAGCCGAGCCTGTAACGTTGCCTGCCAAGCCTGCTGCCGAGCTTGCAAGATTGCCTGCAGATCCTGCTGCCTTTCCTGCAGTGCCGATGGCCGAGCCTGTGAGGTTGGCTGCCAAGCCAGCTGCCGAGCCTGCGTGGTTCCCTGCGGATCCTGCCACCTTCCCTGCAATGCCCACTGCCGAGCCCGCAGCGCTGCCCACCAAACCTGCTCCCGAACCTGCAAGGCTTCCCACCGAACCTGCTGCCTTCCCTGCAGTGCCTACAGCCGACCCTGCAACACTACCCACCAAGCCCGCCGCCGAGCCTGCCACCTTCCCTGCAGAGCCTGCCAAACTCCCCGCTGCCCTCCCCGCACCAAAAACAGCTCCGGCCACATCCGAAACTAACCCAGAAGGAGCCACATTGAGGCTTGGCGAGCCTCCAAAACTGGCTCGGGCGCCTGCCGAGCCTGTGTTGGCACCCGCACCAGCGGCCAAATCAGTCGAGGCAGTGATGGGAGTGGAGGAGAGGGGGTCACTGGCGCAGGGGTTGCGAGGAAGGATGGCTGGGGGAGAGGAGGGCTGCAGGGCTATGCCTTGTGCTCTAATCTTGTATGCAAGATACACTGACGCTCCCCTGAGAGATCATGCAGAGGGGAGAGATGGGGAAAAAAGAAGTAAAACTATTTAATCAACATACTATTCAAGGTGGTGGAAGGGGGGAGGGAGGGAAGGAGGTGCTTGAAAAGAGAGGATACAATCACATTAAAATTGACGCTTGTATGGAGTTGAATACTCATGCAAGTTCGCAGTACCTTCGGAGGATGCTGATATCAGCCGTGCCATCAACGTTGGACCTGACGTCGGCGCTTGTCCCGCCGCAAGGGGCTAGGGTCCCATGGAGAGAAGCTAGTGAAACAGAAACAGAACAGAAGAGCAGAAAAAAAATGAGCAGCAGCTCTGGAACTTTGTCTTCGCTGCAAGGTTATGGAAAAAAATGTCTCTTGCGGATCGTGATTGTGAAGGGCTTTGCAGTAATAAAACTCACCTAGAATCTTGGAGCTGATGCTAGGACCAGTGCGAGCAGCGAGGGCAGATGGAGGGAAAACGGCTGCTGAAACAATCAAGCGGACCCCCAAATAAAAAGGCGAGAAAGGTATGATGTGTAGAGGAACTTTCAGTCTTGAAGGATTTTTTCTCTGTTGTGAATGAAGTTTGCATAATTAACGAGTACATCTAGAGGAATCATTGTGACGTGGTCGTTATGCAGAATGACTAACCTGCAAGTGCGATGGTGAGGAGCAGAGTCACAGCTGCACGAGGGAAGAAACGAGCTATGCTGAAATGTAGGAGAATCGTTACTCAGGCAAAAGTAAAGTGCCTCCTTTACGCAGGCTTGGGAAGTTTTGAGAAGCAGAGCTGTTTGATGCAGAGTTGGTTAGCTGTGGAGCTGTGGTGCAAAATGTTGGAAATGTGAGCATTTTATTAGCTCAGCATTCGAGCCGCACATTGAACGTTCCGAGTCGCGACAGGATGGAGGTGATAGGAAGAGCAGCAGAAAAGCTAGGGTTGGCTTTGCTGTCGGGCAGGCCACGTGGCGGCAACGTTTGACCTACAGTGCGGTGGGGCAGGCTGCCTGAGGAAACCCGCTGTCCACCGAGCACATTTCGCGTTGAAAGTAGTCTTCGGTCAGGCTAGCCTAACGCGCCTCAGAGGTGCCCGATATGCGAACCATGTATCGAGGAGGAACAATCACATAACTCCATTGTATGTGGACTTTGATGAAAGAGCTTGCGAAACCACGCTTTGCGGCATTCTGTGTAGTGCAGTTATCGTGCCTTCCCTTTTACCGAGCCAACACAGCTGATGAAGGTGATGGAGTCGTGACTTGGGCCAAAGCAGTTCTCTTCCGGACCTCTCTGCGTGGCAAATGCCTTGCAACAAGCCTAGTTCAGAGCCCAAAACTAGGCTCGTCGAATCCAAACCAGAACAAGTTCGCACGTCAGCACGCATTTTTGCTTGCGCCAATTCCGCCCCTCCCGTCGTGCACATCAAGGTTGAACCGCATCGCATTCTCGTGCACAAGAATGAAAGGGCCTCCTGCATTTGTTAGGTTCGCATTACCCCTTCCCTCAGTTGTTAAATGTCGGGGTTTTCCCAACTTGTAGGGCATACGAATGAAATCCTTCCCAGCATCTAGTGCTTCGCAACAGCTCCAATCGACCAGTAGGAATCCGTAATGCGGCTGGCTGTACGCGTACACTGACGTGTTTTCTCGTGAACCAGAAATTATTTCAACTCGTGGTCTCAGCGCACAACCAAGCCTCCATGAGGGAATTATGTATTCCGTGGGAGCAGTCTCACGTCACCTAAGTACTCTAAGAACGCCTTAATTTTCTCCTTACTTGGTTAGGTCGCCTTGAATCGAGCAGCAGTAGGCCGTCGCTGTATTTCTCAAATATCAGAGGGGCTTTTATTCGAACGTACTGATAGCAGCGCGATCGCGAATACTAGGTACTATTGCGCCTCGACATGGCGACTCTGGCATTTTGCTAGGTAATACAATCGCCAGTAGCATTGGGGTTACGCGGTAACCACATGGATACCGCGCTCGGCTACATGATCGCGACGTGGGATCGACTCTGCAGCACCTCCCCCATTCTTAGCGCCAGCCGCCCCCCCCTTTCCCCCGCTCTAAGCTCCAGCCGTCCCCCGCCCTCCGCTATACGCACCAACCGGCCCCCTCCTTTCCCCGCTCCTCCGCCTGCTGCGCAATTCGCCGACTCTCGTCGAGTGAGCCACTTGCCCGTAGTCAATACGTATAGTATAAGTGCTAGTACGAATATTAGTGGTGCTAGTACGAATATTAGTGGTGCTAGTACGAATATTAGTGGTGCTAGTACGAATATTAGTGGTGCTAGTACGAATATTAGTGGTGCTAGTACGAATATTAGTGGTGCTAGTACGAATATTAGTGGTGCTAGTACGAATATTAGCGGCGCTAGTACGAAGATTAGTGGTGCTAGTACGAGTATTAGCCGTGGCGGTTCGGACAGGCGAGAGGAGGGAGGAAGGAGGTATTTCAAAGCTTTAGGCGGGAAAGAGGTGATAGTTCACAGAAACCACATTACAGCACAACTACAGTTTCAACAGAATATATACGCCTTGCACAATCGCACCACTATACACCATTTCAGCGAACCCAAGAGCAATCCCCATGCAGATCCTTTCTCTCCTGTGACACTCTGCATCTGCCCTGCCGTCTCATCTCTCCAGCTGCACCACCAGACCAGAGCCGACTTTTGAGGCGCCTCAAGAGTTCTCTGCTGTGACACTCTGCATCTGCCCTGCGATGCTCATCCCTCTAGTTGCACCACCAGACCAGAGCCTGAACCATGATCTCTTGGGTGCTGAGGTGGAGGAGGAGGGGGAGAGGCACAGAGGAAGAGCAGCAGTACGGAGGAGGTCCAGAGGAAGAGCCGCATCGAACGTTCCCCCAATCTCCCTCCACCTCTCCAGCAACCTTTCCCGTCCTTGCCCCTGCCCCTTCCCACCCCTCCCCTCCCCTCCCCCCTCCACCCGCTTCCGCCCCGACCTACTGCAGCAGAGCAGCCACCCCACCCACTTACCCTCCTCTGCCCCTCTTCCTCTTTCTACTGCACCAGAGCAGCAACAAGGCTCTGCTGGCCGTTCAGGCGGAGGAGGAGGGAGAGAGGCGTGGAGGAGGAGATGTGAGCGAGTAGAGATGCAGCGAGAGAGGACGACAGCTGCATCTCCCCTGCCGTTGCAAACACGGTGTTTGCAGCCGTTTTGACTGCAGCAGCAGCAACAGAAGCAGCACCGCCAGCCGCAGAAGCAGTAACAATAGGTGCACCAACAGTGGCCGCAGTTGCAGCACCACCAACAGCACGAGCAGCAGTACCAACAGCAGTGGCAGCAGCATTGATGTTGCCGGCTGCAGTCACCCAAGCACCAGGCAGGACCACCAGAGGAGTCAGGACCGCTGGCAACGGGCCAACCACCGAACCTGCAAGCTTAGCCGCCGAGCCTGTTGCCTTCCCTGCTGCACCAACTGCCTTTCCTGTGGCGCTAACCACCGAGCCTGCAGTGTTGCCCACCAAGCCTCCTGCCAAGCCTGCATCCTTACCAGCAGTGCCAGTGGCCAAGCCTGCAGTATTCCCTACCAAGCCAGTTGCCGAGCCTGCAAGGTTCCCTGCCGCACCCGCTGCCCTCCCTACAGTGCCAGCTGCCGCGCCTGCAGCAGTGCCGACCAAGCCAGCTGCCGAACCAGATGAGTTGCCGACCAATCCAGCTTCCGAGCCTGCAAGCCTCCCAGCAGAGCCTGCCACCTTTCCTGCAGTGCCAGCAGTGGAGCCTGCAACGGTGCTGACCAAGCCTGCTACCGAGTCTGCCACCTTCCCTGCAGTTCCCACCGCCGAGCCTGTAGTGTTGGATACCAAGCCTGCTGCCGAGCTTGCAAGATTCCCCGCGGATCCTGCTGCCTTCCCTGCGGTGCCGATTGACGAACCTGTAAGGTTGGCTGCCAAGCCCGCTGCCGAGCCTGCGAGGTTCCCTGCGGAACCTGCCACCTTCCCTGCAGTGCCCACTGCCGAGCCCGCAGCGCTGCCCACCAAACCTGCTCCCGAACCTGCAAGGCTCCCCACCGAACCTGCTGCCTTCCCTGCAGTGCCTACAGCCGACCCAGCAACACTACCCACCAAGCCTGCTGCCGAACCTGCAGCCTTCCCTGCAGAGTCTGCCACACTTCCCGCTGCCCTCCCCGCACCAAAAACAGCTCCGGCCACATCCGAAACTAACCCAGCAGGAGTCACACTGAGGCTTGGCGAGCCTCCGAAACTGGCACGGGCGCCTGCCGAGCCTGTGTTGGCACCCGCACCAGCGGCCAAATCAGTCGAGGCAGTGAGGGGGGTTGAGGAGAAGGAGGCGCTGGTGCAGGGGTTGCGAGGGAGGATAGCTGGGGGTGAGGAGGGCTGCAGGGCTATGCCTTGTGCTCTGATCTTGTAGGCAAGGTACACTGACGCTCCCCTGAAACGAGACGCAAAGGAGAAAGAGAGAGAGGATTAGTAATAGGTGGGGGAAGGGAGGAGGGAGGGGAGAAGGAGCATTGAAAAGAGAGGATATGCTCACTTAAATATGGTGCTTTAAGTGGTATTCAGATGACATGCAAGCTCACAGTACCTTTGGAGGATGCTGATGTCAGCCGTTCCGTCAACGTTGGATCTGACGTCGGCGGCGCTTGTCCCGTCGCAAGAGGCAAGGTTCCCATGGAGAGAAGCTGATGTAACAGAAACAAAACGAAAGAGAAAACATATCATGAACACTAGGCTTTGGATTATTATTTTTAATGCAAGGTAACACTTTAGAAAAATATGCGGAAAAACTTCCGCTGACGACTTTTGCGGTTACGGAACTCACCCAGAATCTTGGAGCCGATGCAAGGACCAGTGCGAGAAGCGAGGGCAGATGGAGGGAGAACGGCTGCTGAAATGATTGGCGGACACCAGAGAAGAAATCAAAAGGCAAAATAGGGTATGGGATTTTAGTAAAGGAAAATTCTGTATTATGAGAGAAGTTTGCATAATTAACAGTACAATTAGGGAAATTATTGTGACCTTGCTGATACGGTATGCAGACTGACTGACCTGCAAGTACGATGGTGAGGAGAAGAGTCACAGCCGCACAAGGGAAGAAACGAGCCATACTGAAGGGTTGGAAAATTGTCCCGTGCTGTGAGTGTTGGTAAAGCAAAGCAGTCTGATGCTGGGTTGGTTAGCTGTGATGCAAAATGTTGGAAATGTGGGCATTTATCTGTTCTGCTTCCGGGCCGCGCATTGAACGTCCCAACTCGCGACGGAATGGGGGTGAAAGGAGCAGCAGGAAATTAGGGTTGGCCTTGCTGTCGGGCATGCCACGTGGCGGCGACATTTGACCTACATTGCGGTGGGGCAGGCTGTCTGCCGAAACCCGCTGTCCACCGAACACATTCTGCGTTGAAAGTAGTCTACGGTCAGCCTAGCCTTTCTCCTCGATATAAGACATGGTTATTATGTGCCGACAGTGTTTCGATTAGAAGCAATCTTGTACAAGATCTCCAACTTCGTAAGTGAATGTGGAATAATATGCGAGCCTTGTTCAAAGAGCTTGCAAAGGTACGGTTTGCGGCATTTTGTGTAGCGCGAATATCAAGCTGGTTTGCTGACTCCCACGTGCCTTTCAGGCTTTTACTGAGCCAGCAGACAGGCTGACGAAGGTGATGAGTCGTGACTTGGGACAAATCAGTTTTCTTCCGAACCTCTCTGCGTGGCAAATGCCCCGCAACTCAAACCAGTTTAAAGTTTTATTCAGGTCGTAACCCAGACAACACAGGGGCTAAACAAGGTAGTTAACCAGCGCCAAAGGCCTACGCTAAAAGCAGCGTTTCTTTGCCGGACCAAGTCCGCGGGTAGGAAAGGTCCTGCCCGCTCTGTGTTGTGTGGAAAGTGAAGCGGTTGTTTACGGGGGCCGGTAAGTATTGTTGAGCAGCCAGGACGCGCGGAGTTCCGGGTGCAATTGCGGGGTGCCGTTGGGTAAAAACTGAAGCAGCTTGTGGACGTTGGCCGCTTTGACTCGGTTGATAGTGGGACGTTTACGCTTCTCGGATATTTTGCTTCGGCGATGAAAAGTACATCTTGCAGGCAGAGAGAAATAGGGCCAAGATGCGATGAAGTGTTGCTGGAGTGGAATGAGATACGTTGTCGTACATTTGGGAACAGCGGTCTCACCATAGAATTGTCGCAGCTGCTCCAACGAGTAAACACCATGGAGCGATGTGTCCCGGCGGTGTAGCAGGAGGGAAGAAGACCACTTCAGACGGAATTGTACGGCGGAGGTGTTTGCTGGCGGTGCGTTGTAGTGCCGAGGTGACGGCTGGGGGCATTGCCGCACACAAAGAAAATGTGAGTGTGGGATTCGACGGAGTTAGTATGGCAGCGAAGGCATATTCCCTTGGACCAAGTAAAGGGTATTCGAGCACCGCATGGAAGGGATCGTGTAAAAAATCGATAGAGTATGTCTCTTTGGCGGCTTGTCTGGTCGATGAGGAAGGAGTAGCTAAAGTCCGATAAGGAGCGAAGTGGAGTCTGTAGATGATCATTCCAATGCTTGAGGTGATGAAGCGGCTGACGGGTATAAAGGTTTTTCCGAATGTCCGCTACCGAGGGTCGTTGCCGCAGCAGTTCGTGCCGTACCCCCAGAGCCGCTCCTGAGCAGAAATGACCCGCCAACCAGTTATCAATGACGCACACCGTGATGACCTCCGTAGCTGCTAAAGTCGTGCTGCCTGAGGGTGTCTTGGCCAATTATCTCTCCTGCGTCACATCATAACAGTCGAACAGCACATAATTTTTATCGAGGAACTGCTTGACTCGTAAGACCTGAGTTTGAGTTGTTGACGATGAGGCCTCGTGTTGGAGGTTGCGTGAGGCAAGGTTACATGTGCGACTCGATGCATTGCAGTTCATATAAATATGTTTGCTTTGTATTGCATGGCATATACTGAAATCGAGAATCAATTTGTATGTGATACATTCGACTACAAAATCCAGAGAGTTCCTCTCCTTGATTCCAAGAGTACTACCTAGCACATAAACGCCTATATCTCGCTCGATACTTAGGCGATCGAGGTGATCTACGGCTCGTTGGAAAGCTAACACAGTGCTCTATTGTTTAGTTCAAATCCCAGTTCCTGCCAACTAGAGGAGAGTCCTCTAAAACACCTCGAAGGCCCACTCGCCACATCGCAAGTAGCCTGGTGGTGGGGTGAAGCCATTAAGCACTGGCCACCACTTGTCCGGAACTGCCTTGTATATTAGTTGGAGAATGCGTAGCCCTCCTGGGAACTCTTTTGGGGGATATTTATTGCGGAACTCACAGGCTGTCATTTGGCGGGAGCCGCCTGTGACAAGAACGAGCAGGCTGCCAAGCCGTATCTGTTTTTCAAGTAGGAAAGCTTCTTCTTTCCTCCTGCCGAAAGGTAGCTTGTCAGGTTTGCGAATGAAGCACTTGAACACGACCGGTTCGGCCATCAAAACCCATGGCTCGAGTTGAGGTGGATGTATTTTAGCCGTAGCATCCAACAGACTACACAGTTCTGCGAGTGCTCTGGGTGGGGTGGAGCTGGGCAGGTGTTCGATAATATCGGGATGTGCCAGGTAGCAGTGTAAACCATACAGCAATGTGGCACAGGCGCGGGCCGTGTCTTCATATGGAGTGGGTAGGAAACGGCGGGCTGCGCGTTGTATGTTGAGAGCTTTGAGTTGCGCGGGAGGTTCGATCGCTCCCACGCCTCCATGCTTCTTTTTTGTTGTAGAGGAAGCTTTTGGGGATGTGGCGGGTTGCTTGACCCTCCTCTTTGTATTTTGAGGACGCAAGAAAGATGCCGACTACGATGTCAGGAGGGGAAGGTTGGAACCGACCACCATAAGAGTATACCGAGGCGAGACGTTCAGAGGAGAGCAAACTGCGGCATGTTGCCGTGGGGTGTATGCATGAGAGGAAGTCAGTGGTGGTCTGGACTTTTGTGAGCATTTTGTCCCATGTGGTTTGTCTAGGTTGATCTTGTTCAATGTATACCCCTAGGATTGTTCGGCTTTGTTTGGTTTACGGATGGGAATATGCCATGCATTTATAATGGCAGAAGGGTCTATGTTGAAAGGTAAGATTGCACATTTGTCCCAGTTGGGGTGTTCCCCGGAACAAAGGGTGAAACTATTGAGGCATGATCTGACGGTTGCTAGCCCGGAGTTAGAATTCAAGAATATAGAGACATCGTCCGCGTAACTGGCCATGAGCCGTCTTTGGGTAGGTGATATGGCGAAGCCGGGCAAAGCTGCGGCAAGGTGGCGTTGCAAAACTTCTATGACACAGATGAATAATAGGGGGGCGAGGGGGCAGCCTTGCCGCACCCCGGTCCTGACTTGGAACCGAGGCCCGGCAGCGTTGTTTACTGAGACATGGGTGACAATGTGAGTATGTAGGCGGCGGACCCATGTGATAAAGCCAGGGGGAATGCCGAGGTGGGAGAGGCAACGAAATAGGAATTCACAGTCAACCATGTCATAGGCTTTACGTATGTCGACAGTGAGAACCAGCAGTAGCAGTTTTTGTGTGGTTGCCCAATCCATGATATCGAGCGTATCGTTGATGGTGTCGCCGATGCGCCGACCTTTGATGAAGGCAGTTTGAGCATGGTGGATGATGCGGGGAAGGGCAGCTTGGAGTCGGTTGGCAAGGGTAATTGCCAAAAGCTTGTAGTCGGTATTCATTAAGGTGATCGGGCGAAGGTTTTCCGCGAGGGATGCGTTCCCTTTCTTAGGGATTAGGATTGTTTGTCCTTTGCACATGGAGGGAGGAAGGGAATTCTGAGCGTGAATGCCGGTAAAGAGCTTGTGAATGACTGGCGCAAGGGCTGATTTATAAACCCGGAAAAGATCCCCAGGTAAGCCGTCTATGCCAGGGGATTTACCCCTAGCCAGTGTAGAGAATGCTCATTCGATTTCTGGCAGCCCAATGGGAGCGTCTAGACGTGCTGTGCAGGGAGGGGGAAGGGAGGAGGGGTAGATGTGTGACCAAAAGTCAGGGGCAGGGGTGATGGGAGTGTTACCGCTGTAGAGGTTACAGAAAAAGGTAGTGCAGTGTTGGGTCATGGGGATGAGATCCGAGACCACATCTCTGGAAGGTAGTTGAAGATGGGGAATTTGCGAGTCTTTAATCCTTTTGTTTAGACCTGCCAGAAGCGAGGCAACGCCCATTTCCCGGGATCCTTCAACTTCCAGCTTGGCTTTTAATGCGATCTCTGCTGTGCGTGTGCTTAGGTATGTGTTGATGCGTTGAAGGTGGATGTTGAGCCTTTGTGAGGCAGCTTGATCATCCGGGAATTTCAAGAGGTGCATCTCTAAATGACACATTTTATTCTGCATATGTGCCGTGGTCTTGGTGAGCCGTGTAAGCTCTTCTCTTGAGTAGCG